CGAGTTGCTAAGGAAATTAACGGTTTGCTATGGGAAGTCACTGTTTGCTGTGGAAGTCAATGCTATGGAAAGTCAGTGGTTGCTATAGAAGTAAGTTTTTGCAAGTCGATGATTGCAATTGAGGTCACTTTTTGCTATAGAAAGTCAATGGTTACTATGTAAGTCATTTGTTGCTATAAAGGAAGTCACTGGTTGCTATTAGACATCACTGGTCCAATGGAAGTCTTTGGTTGCTAAGGAAATTAACTGGTTGCTATGGAAGGCAATGGATACTTTTGAAAGTCATTGATTGCTATGGAAAGTCACTGGTTGCTTTTGAAGTCTATGTTTTCTATGGAAAGTCAATGGTTGCAATGGAAAACAATGGTTGTTGTGAAAAGTGAATGGTTGCAATAGACATAAATGGTTAAATGGAAATCTTTGGTTGCTAAGGAAATTAACTGGTTGCTATGGAAGTCAATGGATACTTTTGAAAGTCATTGGTTGCTATGGAAAGTCAATGGTTTCTTTTTAAGTCTATGGTTTCTCTGGAATGTCAGTGGTTGCAATGGAAATCAATGGTTGCTGTGAAAAGTCAATGGTTGCAATAGCTGTCACTGGTTCCAATGGAAAGTCGCTGGTTGCTATGAAGTGTCATCGGTTGCTTTCGAGAGTCACTTGTTGCTATGGAAAGTTATCAGTTGCTTTGGAAATCATTGGTTACTAAAGAAGTCTATGGTTACTATTAAATTAAATGGTTGCTGTAGAAAGTCACTGATTGATATAAAAGTCAATGGTTGCTTTGGATATTTATCATTGTTTTATTAAGTCAATGGTGAAAAGACACGATTTGCAATGAGATGTCAGTGGTTGGTAAAGGTCTATCAGTTGTTTAATGCCAAAAAAGAAGGGTTTAGAGGTTCACTGTTTTAAAGAAGCAAAGTTTTTACTATCTACAATTTTAAAATCTAGCATGCCGGTGATATGCACAACTAGAAATAGTAATGATCACTCCTGTGAAGTTTCATTGAAATACCACCATGTGTTTCACTTGTAAAGGCTGGACAAGATTTTTCTCCTTTTTTTTTTTAGCTCGGAGGCCATTTTGTGCAGCGAAGCAGAATGTGCTGGTGATGTGCACAGTAAGGGATGGTACTGTCAGATGGCCCCCTATACCTTTTCGGTTGTGCAGACAGACAGACAACGGAGAAATGATCCTATACTCCGTAGAGGTGACACAAAAAGAGCATAATTCTGTAAAATTATTTGATAGAGTTACCTCCTCCTGTGAATAGGTTGGGGGCATGATGGTTAACAAGTGTACAAAGTTTCAAAGCCATATGTCAATGGATTTTGAAAATAGATAATGTGGTATGCAAACTCTTATGTAAATTCTTAGTCAAGAAAGGGGCATAATTCTGTCAAATACTTGAAAGAGTTACTTCCTCCTGTTTACAGGTTAAGAGAGTGATGTGCAGACCTGGGGTAATCAGTAATCGTAATCATTGATTTTTTAATTGATTCCACTGTTATCATCATGTTATTGATTACCTTGCTCAAAATTGATTACATTAATTGTAATTAATCAATTACAGCTTAAATTCAGTCTATAATTATGATTACAATTTGATTGATGTTGATTACTTTTAGATTTTACATGAAACTATTGAAATTTAAATGATTTTTTTCACATGTTACAGTTTAACTTATTTTCCTTTATAATGATCTTAAATCACAAATTGAAGAGTGTAAATTGATTGATTTTGATATACGATAGCAACATTTTTATTGAATAGAGAGAATGTGCTCTATTGATATCCATATTTGAAGTTAATCATAGAAATTGTCATAATAAACAATGATTGTCCATAAAGATAGTAAAACATCAAGTGAGATGTTTTAAGACATCACTCACAATGAAGAAATAAGTTTTAATCCATACATTTACCAAATTCTAACTGAAAGATAGACATTGTTTGGCTGGTTTTCTAACCAAAATGTCAAATCATTGGATTTATTATGTCTTTAAATTTCGTAAAGAGACATCTGGAAATGTGACAGCACAGTGCCATAGGAAGATAAATGGAAACACTAAGTCACATACAAATTTCATTACCCATATAAAGTTATGTAAATTTTGTTTCACATTTTTTGGTTTAACCATGTTTCAAAAAGTTTGCAGTCTGACTGACAGACGGTTTCATGAACTTATGATGCTAAAGTGCAATGCTAAAATATGATTAAGTGATGTAATAGTAGCTAAAAGTGTGTTAAATTGATGACTGTTGATGAGCTGGAAATCCTTTGTGTATACGAGGGGTGATCAAGAATTACGTATACTGGCTCAATATCTCATTTATTGTTTGACAAACGTACATAAAACTTATATCACATGAAAGTACGTTTTATCAACAAAAAACATGCAATTTTGTTTTACAATATGTTTACATAATTCGGCATAACAAACCATGAAAGTGTGTCACTATCGCGGTACCGGCCCACGTCGTCAAAAAACTCTTGACGTCAGCGACGTCGCAGCGTCGTAAGTGTTTAAGGAAAAGCGTCAACAGGCACATGTCATTCACTCTTTTCAAAGTACGAGCCAGAACATGCAATGCAACGTTCATGCCTCTTTACCAATGAGAGAAGAATATATTCCTGTAATACTCTGCTAGATACTGATGTATAAGGGTGTTTGTCCCTGACTGTAACTCCTCCAAATTCTCAAAGCGCTGGCCCTTCAGCTGGCGTTTCGAATGTTTATACTTGATAAGCAAATATTAAGGTATTTTGTAAAATTATTTAGTTTCTGATACATTGTTTATAAATTTGAATTACGCAGCATGTTTGAAACAAATGTGTATCCATGCATTTTATTGTTTAAAACAATACGTGCGAAATCATAAATAAGCGCGGAAAATTTGAATTTTTATATTCGAAACTGAATAGGTTGTAGAGTGATTAAAACAAAAAAAACATAAGTTAATGCACATAAAATACCTTTCGCATGAAATTGAGGGCATGATGGTGAACAATTGTGTCAATTTTCAAAGCCACGTGTCAATGTACTTTAAAAATATTTCAGGTGGTACGCAAACTTAAAACGTAAATTCTAAGTGAAAAAGGAGACATAATTCTGTCAAAAAGCTTGGTATTTTTATCTCCTGTATAAAGGTTGGTGCATTTTGGTGAACAATTGTACCATAATTATGTCAATAGAATTTGAAATAGCTGAGGAAGTGTACACGCAAACTTTATCATTAATGGATACGTCGACGCATACGCCGACGCTCGGCGGACTTAGATAGCTGTCCTAATTCTTCAAATAGTCAAGCTAAAATGTACGCACGGGTTGCCAGTCATGTTAGATAATCACAGACAACAAGTGTTTGAAGTTTCGATCCATTCCCTTCAGTCGTCATGGAGATACTTGCTTACATGCAAAAACTTAACCAAGAATTTCTAAGTCGAAAAAGGGACATAATTATGCAAAAAAAAAGCAAATCAGAGCTATGGGACTTGTGCCAATCATGTTAGATAATCATAGAGAACAAGTGTGTGAAGTTCAATCCATTCCCTTTAGTAGTTATGGAGATACTTGCTTACATGCAAAAACTTAACCAAGAATTTCTAAGAAGAAAAAGGTGCATAATTATGCAGAAAAGCCAAGTAGAATTATGGGACTTGTGCTAATCATGTTAGATAATATCAAAGAACAAGAACAAGAATCCCTCAAGTAGATATTATTCTGCGATTAGTCGAGCTAAAAATGGCTAAATAACATAAATTCCATCCAAGTATGTGCCGTGCCCCTATGGAGTTTGGATGACGTCCCGTATAAATAGTAAGGCTAATTATGCTAACAACAACAACACATGTGTATGCCACTTAATATGTATAGAAACAGAAACGACACTTACTTGAAGGTTAAAAAAAATCTAATTAATTCTAAGAAGAAAATCCTCAACACACATTGAAACTTATAAATCAATCTTATGAAGTTATGTACAGCAAAGTATTGATTTAACTGTCAAACTCAAAATAAACAAGAATGTCGAACGACACATATGCCCCCCTTTCTAGTCCTTGACTCACATAATTGGTAATTTTGCTATAGAAACTTGCCATTAATTGGTACACGGTATTGTTCTATTATGGCAAAAAGAAAAATAATGAAGACTTTGTGATAAATAGTTTTCAAGATAATCAATATGTGAAATATTAGACTTTGTGATAAATAATAACCAAGATAATAAGCAGAAATCATATTACTATTCAAGGCCGCTGTGACCTTGACCTTTGACCTTGTGACCTCAAAATCAATAGGGGTTATCTACTATAATTATGACCAATCACTATGTGAAATATGAAGACTTTGTGATAAATGGTAACCAAGATAATAGTGGAAATCATATTACCATTCAAGGACCTTGTGACCTTAACCTTTAATCTAATGACCTCAAAATCAATAGGGGTCATCAACCTCTTATGAACAATCAATATGTTAAATATGAAGACTTTTTGATGTATACTTTTTAAGATAATCAGCGGAAACCATTTTGATATTTAAGACCCCTGTGACCTTGACCTTTGACATCGTGACCCCAAAATCAATAGGGGACAGCTATTGGTTATGACCAATCACTATATGAAATATGAAGACTTTGTGATGAATACTTTTCAAGATAATCTGCGGAAACCATTTTGACATTTAAGGCCCTTGTGACCCTGGACTTTAACCTAGTGACCCCAAATGCAATATGGGTCATCTTCTAGTTATGACCAATCATTATGTGAAATACCGGGTATGAATACTTTGTAATAAATAGTTTTCAAGATAATCAGCGGAAACCATGTGGTCTACGGACGGACAGACCGACGGACCGACAGACAGACAGACCGACTTGAGCAAAACAATATACCCCCACTTGCTCGAAGGGGGGCATAAAAATGATGTCTATTTCACCTGTTACTTGTCTTATAACCAATTTATAAATTGTTTCTTCCAAGTTCATTTAAGGTTACTCAGTACTTGTTGTTTTAAACTCAAACAGGTACACTCCAGACTCCAAGGTGCCATCATAGATGACCATAAAATTGTCTGACTGTTTTATAAATGTTTTAAAGTTTTCAAATTCTGTTTCTGGTTTTATATTACAACCTTCCATATATACTGCCACTGTATGTGGTAGTTTGTTTATAACAGTAATGAGATCATATAACATTGAACAAGACATTGTTATATCATGCAAGACAACACTTTCAATATTGATCATTTGAGGTGACAGTGTTAATGATCTTTCACCTAGATTGATATTATACAAATGAACACATTTCAAATGATGTAACAATGGTAATATTTGTAACATTGTTTCTATGTCACTAGACGATTCTAGATCACTACACTCAAATGTTTGTAGTTTACTAGCTTCTGATAGCTGACAGAGATAAGATGACACAACACCAGGTTTATATAATTCACCTACATCACATTCCTCTAACAACGATACATCCATGTCTAATTGTGACACATGTATATTGCCCAATTCTAAACATCTTAGTTTTGAATGTTGAGACAGGTTAAGGTTGAATCCCCTACATGAAGTATCATGATCACTACAGTATAAATTGTACAATCTTATTTCTTTCATTGATTTTTTACTAGTGAGGAAATTTAACAATGTCTCCATTACCTCGTGGGTCATAGTGAAACAGTCTATCTTAAAACACTCCAGGTGTTGTAATTTTACCAGTTGTTCATTTATCTCTGCAGACAACCAGCAAAATTCTTCTACAAATCGATGATTTTCCCATTTACTGGATATCACAGTAAAACATTTTAAAGGGTTCAATAACAAGCTCTTTATTTCCTCTTCTACAATTTCACCTTGATAGAATAATTTCTTTATATGTTGAAGGTCAGAGAGTGTAAACAAATTGATAATTTCTTGTAGACTACAAATACCTTCATTTTCAATCATTATTGATTTTATGGTTTCTTTATTTTGTTGACACAAATGTTGTAATTGTTTGAAGTAGTTTTCTTGTTGACATTTTTCATTGATGATGAAATCTTGTAAACACAATTTGAGATCTTTGTTTTTCTTTCCTTCTTTGGCACAAGAAATGTACATGTCTTGTATGTCTTCTAATGGCTTATTGTACATTTTATCATACTCTGTCAAAGTTCTGTATTTGCTTGTTTTTTCATCACTGTTTATCACAGGCATTAACTCACTTGATATTATAGACATTAATTTAGGGTTCATGCCACTAATAAAGACAAACACTTTTGACATTTTTGCAATATTTTGTAAACAGTTGCACTCTTCAAAGATGATTTTTTGAACTTCATTTGTATTTTGAAAGCTTATAAATATTGCTGAAAAGTATTCTTGCATTGTTTTATGTGAAAATGAGATTTTAGAACTTTCATTTATTAATGTTTTCACTTTACTTTCTGATAATATTCCTGACAGACAGCTTGATTTCAAATTTTCTTTGTTAAGATATTTTGCAGCAACATCTTGATCAAAAACTAATGTGTGCTCCTTTTTCTGGCTGAACAATGTATAAAAAGCTAGTTTCCCAATGGTCACCAGAAACGTGTAGTAACTACAGAAATGTTTGTGTTTTCTGAAACATTCAGGGATGTTACTCGCAGATGTTTTACACGAAGAATGAAACTTTTCATGTAACTTTTCTGTTCTAGATAGAAGGAGCTGAATAATGCCTGTATATAATTCTACTGCTGAATTTCCTATTTGAATTTTTGCAATCCATAAACATATAAGATAGAGTAACAGGAGAGGGGTGGATTCCATATCTTCAAGGTCATGGTCACTGATTTCTTCTTCAAATCTACACACTTCATTTTTCAGTTTATCATCTTCAATGTTGCCTTTCAATGTTTTCATTGCATTGAGCTTAAACTGCCATGCATTATCTTCGTTTAGTTTAACTAGCTCTACTGTTTTGTCTATTTGATTATTCTTCAAGCTTGAGACTCCAAGCTTCCATGGCCGGGTCGTTGTTAAAATCACACACTTTTCACGTGCATATCGATGCGGAATACTTTTAGGAACTTTTGTACAAGCGTTGTCAGGATGACTCCATTCATCAAGTCCATCTAATATAACAAGACATTTTTCATCACGTAAAATGTCCTTTAAAGGATCTTTTGGCATTGAAGATGAGCAAGGAAGATATTCTATGACTTGTTGTTCAATCATGTCGTCGATATCACAGACTTTTGCTGAATCTCTCAATAGCACTAGAAACAGAAACTCAAAGCCAGATAATGCCTTTAACTCTTCTTCTTTAAAATGTTTATAATTTTCATCCTTTTTATAGGCTTGACACCACGTCAAGGCGAGATATTTTGAAAAAGATGTTTTCCCAAATCCAGCGGCTGCTGATAAATATATTTCCTGTGAAACCTTTTTACTGGGTGTAAACAAGTCCTGTAACGAATTGACTCTAGTTGTTTCTTTCCTTCCATCTGGTAGATAAGTCTGTATGTCAATTTCTGGCATAATGTAGAACCCAGATAGAGGGGTAGGGAAAGCATCTGTGAGTGGTGAAAGAGGAACTGTACTCTGATTGGTGTTGTACCATGTTATTAGTTCATCCTTCAGTTCTGAAATAGAAAAAATAGACATTTTATTATTATTCATTTACGTGTTGAAATTACAACAGACATTGATATAATTTCATTATTTCTAATGGTGTCAGTGTGCACATATATAGATCTATTTATATGAATATTAAGATACATTTATATTAGAAATATTCATTAATAAAAAAAAGGAAAGCACAAAAAATGTACCACAAAATGTTTCCATTTTAACTATTCCCTTACATTACTTTATAGTAGATTCTTAAATAAATAAGACATACAAAACATTTTGAAATTGACACCAATTGTATTTGTCTGCCGTTTGTCAACTCAAATAGCAGAAGAACACAACTTTTAACTTGTACGAAATATATATCTGAAATTCATACAAAATGTCTTAATTAAGAATGCATTTTGCTGTATTCACAAAGAATCTCACTGATAATTTACCTACATGCAATCTTTCTAGAAACTAGACATGTGTCCATAGGACACGGATGCCCCCACACGCCACTTTTCTGTCAATCTTATGACTCTAGGTCAAATATTTTTTAGACTACATGTGCCACAAGTTGAAATCTAAAAATCAACAAAGGGCCATAATTCTGTTAAATTTAATCGCAGCAAAATTCCTTCCTTTACTGGCATCTACACATTAAGGTTGTTCATCCCTGGAAGTTTAAGCAAAATCTGCCATCCGGTTTAAGAAGAGTTGCGTTCACAAAATTTCTACATAGTATATAGTGAAAAAATCAACAAAGGGCCATAATTCTATTAAATTTGGTCGCAGCAAAAATTCCTTCCTTTACTACCATCTACACATTAAGGTTGTTCATCCCTGGAAGTTTAAGCAAAATCTGCCAGCCGGTTTAAGAGGAGTTGCGTTCACAAGATTTCGGGACGTACAGACAGACGTACGAACGGACGGACGGACACTCGGACGGACAAGTGCAACGCTATATGCTTCCACTCTGTGGGGGCATAAAAATTCAACGTTTGGTATTCGGTCATTATTAAATTTGAAATGCACCTAGGAATTGCACTGGCTTTACTGTAATAAACATTAAACTATTAGTAGAACAGTTCACAGGTGTCATAGATAATTTCAAAAATATTTATGGAGCACCATAATTGCCTTATAGCCGAGAATTCTATGGTATCGTGGTACTTTACGTTTATCGGAAAATATTTATATATAAAAATCATACATGAATGACATTTTTCTTCATTTAAATAATTGATCATTTTCCAAAACTGTTTGTCAAACTTAATTTCAAAAGATTCAATTAAAATGTCTTTTTTTTAGAAAACTATTTCTATAGTCTGCCAATTTGAGTGATTTCAGAGGAATTTACTACGGCATCACGGTCATCTCTAAAAATGCAAGTATGAAATGATAGATGCGTCAAGGTTTTCAAATTAAGTCGTGAAAAACTTCCAACAGTTAACTTACGATAAAATTCAAGCTATAGATTTGATGATATGCCAGTATATTGGGTTAATACATAATAAGCATACAGGACATTTCGGCCCCAAACAAAATTGTCTTGTACAAAAATCGGCCCGAGACGTTTCGGCCCTTTTTTATTACAGTTTTATTAAAGTATTAAAGGAATCTTTATGCTTAACATCGTTAGAAGTTTAGTATATTGATTGATTGATGGCATACAAACAAGAAAAAAACACTTTAATCGTTAAAGTGACATTATGCTTGTATTTTCAAAGTCAAGTTGAGCTGAATTGACTTTATATTTTCAAAAGATTGACTGTTAAAATGGTGTTTGACCAAAAGTTGATATTGGAAAACGTTCAGTATAAAATAAAAAATCTGCCTAAAATATAAAAAGACTGCCCCACTCTTTTTATAAACTGAGCGTAGGAGGTAAATTCTAATACATATATAAAAGAATTTTATTTGGATCTGTGCATTTTTCATTAATTAATTATTAAATTAAAAGGAATTATGGTTAAATGAAAACTTTTTTTGATATTCACCTGTTCACTCACTTTATACCCTTGGATGGGCATAATGTCACTTAAATTAATAATGAATGATAGATCTATCGATCTCTTAATTTAACTATTTAAGATGTAACAATAAATAAGTAGAGGTTATTACATGGGTCAAGTTTGCCTTTAGTCCATATTGGCACACTTGGTGACTTATTTGCCTGAGCGCTTTAGCCCGAGGGCAAAATTGAACCAAGTGTGCCAATATGGACTTAAGGCACACTTGTTCCCTGTAATAACCTGTTTATTGCATATGTTCAGCATTAATGCTTCAGACTGGAATAAAATCAAGCAATCCATCAAATGCTGCCAATATGCACAACTAGACTTGGTACTGATCATTCCTGTAAAGTTTGGATGAAATTGCACCAGTAGTTTATGAGGAGTAGTCCGGACAAGTTTTTTGACGGACAGACGGACAGACAGACAGACAGACGGACAGACAGACGACGGAGAAGTGATCCCTTTATGTCGCCACTACTCCGTAGAGGCGGCACAATAATGAGCGGACACCATTCTGACATTTGAGGTCCCTGTGACCTTGACCTTTGACCTAGTGACGCCAAAATCAATCGGTATCATCTGCTAGTTATGACCAATCAATATGTGAAATATGAAGACTTTGTGATAAATGGTAAATAAGATAATAAGCGGAAATCATATCACCATTCAAGGGCCCTGTTACCTTGACCTTTTACCTAATGACCCCAAAATCAATAGTGGTCATCTACTACCTATGACCAATCAATATGTGAAATATGAAGACTTTGTGATGAATACTTTAAGATAATCAGAGGAAAACGCAAAGACATTTAAAGCTCCTGTGACCTTGACCTTTGACCTAGTGACATCAAAATTAATAGGGGTCATCTACTAGTTATGACCAATCACTATACAAAATATGAAAACTTTTTGAAAAATACTTTTGAAGATAATCAGCAGAAACCATTTTGACATTTAAGACCCCTGTAACCTTGACCTTTGACCTAGTAATCCCAAAATCAATAGAAGTCATCTAATGATTATGACCAATCACTATGTGAAATATGAAGATAATCATCGGAAACAATTTTGACATTTAAGGTCCCTATGACCTTGACCTTTGACCTAGTGACCCCACAATTAATAGGGGTCATTTACTAGTTATGACCAATTACTATGTGAAATATGAAGACTTTGTGATTGCTTTCAATATAATCAGCGGAAACCAATGTGGTCTACAGACGGACAGACCACGGGCCAACAGACAGACCGACATTAGCAAAACAATATACACCCTCTTCTTCGAAGGGGGACGTAATTATTCTATTAATTTTCTCATTCCTTTTATTCATTTATTTATTGAAATACTTTTAAAATTCTGGTATAAACACATAAAGGTAAGAGTTATTCTTAGCTTAAAATGGGGCTGATTTGGTAAAGGGCCGAAACGTCAGGGGCCGAAACGTCTTGGGTAATTTGGGGCCGATACGTCTTGGGGTCGAAATGACTTGAAACCAATAATAACAATACATCCATAAGCACTTTTGATATGATCTACGTAAATAACTGAGGTAAATCGAGTAAAATTGATATCTCTTGTGCAAAATGAGCCGTTTTAAACCGCTAGTTTGTTGTGATTATATGTATTACGCCAATAGAAAACATTAGATCTTAGCTTTGTCACAGTATATTCTTCACACATTCTTAAACTCAAAAGTATTTAAATAAGCTTTTAAACCTACCACATGTCAGACCATTTTACATACGATTTATACATTGAAATACACAACCTGTTATCTTTACTCGAAATAAAGCCTCTCGTCTGCTAGTTCTGAAAGTGTTTGTCGGTGTATTCAGGGATATATCTGTGTTGTTGATATAAATGGTAATGTTGATTTTATAAATGCCTTGTGTTATATGGTTTTGATAGATAGTGATGTCGTTTTCATATAAAGTGATGTAGTTATGATAGATGGTAAAGTGGTTTTTGTATTTTCTGATTGCAGATCAGGAAATACAATGCTGACATTTAATCTCTGGCACAGCGCTTCACGACAAACCTAACAAGTTGTTCTCAACTTCTCAACAGTTTAAAACTAGCGGTGTAAAAGAAAGAAGTGTTCTTATTTTATTACAAATATCCAACAAATTACAACGCATTCTAAGATTAAAAGTAGCGTTGGTTTATAAAATTGTGAATAAATGTACAATCAAAAATTACGCGGATGAATATGATTTTAATCAATGAAAATGCTATTTTTAGCGATGTCGATAACCGAATACTTCAGAGTGTATTACACAAATAAATCTGATTGTCGAGTACCTCTTACAGTTATTTTGTCGTACTTTGCCACTGTACAGATCAGATTAATAATAAATCAACAGCTACAGGTTAGGGAGCTCGAGGGTGTGTTGGTAAGTGTATACATTCGAACCACTTGCCATTCATCCGGAGAGTTCGAATCCCGCCAGGGACTTTGGATTCTTTAACGAGACAAGCTATCAAACTAGTTTCTAAATATTGCACAGACGGACACTCGAGGTCTCCCATTACCAGTAAAGCTGAAAACAGTTTGTAAAAAAAAAAAGCAAAACAAAACTGCGCTTTCATTCTTTAAATTCCTATCAGGGCTTTGTATTTGCTATTATTCTTAACCAATCAAAGAAATTTTATTCACACATTGTCCTTCCTATTTCTGCATTGGACCTGTTCCCGTCGTATTGACCCCTATAATCTAATTAAGCATTATTATAATATATATATTTGCTAGAATTAGTATAGTACTCAACAATGTATAACAAACTTATTTTTCACAACTAATGCTTCAGATAAAAGCATTAAATTTAAAAAAATTCTCATAATCAACAATTATGGCGTTTCTGTATAACAAAAATGTATATTACGATGTGGTCACTTTAAGTACAATATTTGAATTGGTCGTTTTTGACATAGAATTCTAATGACAACGAGGCTGGAGGTATATAAAATGGATTTGAAATGGATTATATTTTAGGGGGATAAAAGCGAGGCTAGATGGCGTACACTATGCGTTTGATACAGAGTTTAGAAGGTGTGAGGTACAAAGGAATACGTTTAGTAATATATATGGAAAACAAATGAAGTCATGTGATTAAATGTTATATCACTTACTTTGTTTAAATTCAATATATTGTTTTTCTTTCTCGTCTTTACTTGCTGTTTTCAGTCTTTTTTGTAACGTTTCTCCTAATTCAGCCAGGTCTGCTCGTCTTTTATCTCCTTGTTTATGAATTTTCTCAACTTCTTTGTCCCGTTCTTCATTCAGTCTTTTAACTGAAGCATCAGTTTCATCCTTTAATTGTGTCACTCCCTCGGCAATTTGTGATTGAAAAGACTGAAGATCTTCTTGTTTTCTTTTTATCATATCTAGTTTAATTCTGTCATATTGCTCATCTAATCCAGCCTTCATCTTGTCCTGTATTGCTTTTGCCACATCGTCTAGTACTTTTCTTATATCATCTTTACCAATGACTAGAGTGTCATTTTCTAACTGTAATTATAAATACAATAAAACTATACAATACCAAAAAAAGAATAATAAAGGAAAATAAAAACAAATAAAAAAGTAAATAAGAAATTAATAAAAAAATTCAAATAAATAAGTAAAAAAATTAATATCAGTTATTTATTAACTGTACATTTTTAATAAATATTGTACAAATGTACTTCCAAAAATACATTTATGAAAAACAAACTTAACTCAAAATAGTTCAAAATAGTTCACATTAAATAACAACAAATTATTTTAAAATTTGTCCAGGAATAGTTTATAATGTTTGTGTACAATACTCATTTTCAGTAAATAACTGAGTCATTCTATGTTACTGACAATCGAGCACAACTTAATGGAAACAGTATTTTTCCATCAGGGAAACACCATGATTTGTTCAAAAATCCAATGGAAGTATTTAATTTGACTTATACCCTTTTACATTACACTAATTTACAATCATTCGAAATATACTAGCTACACGATGAAATGTTTACTCTATTTGCAGTCATTTAATCACGTTAAGCACGGTTCATGTGTATTATATGTACAAGATACGCTCGTTATATTCTTACATTTATTTTTATTATTATTATTTCCTATTACAAAATTTTTCTAGTAATTGGCGTCTTTCATGGTTTTGACTTTGTTAATTGTAGATTGAAATAATGAACTGAAAAAGTACTTGTGTTTTATGATAGTTTTTAATACAATACATTGTATAAATGAGCAGTAAGTGTCCTAAGATATAGGTTACAACTGTGATTTTTATTTAATCAATCATTTAAACCATTTAATAGTAGAAGTGGTAGTGGCAGAAATAGACTTGTAGTAGTAGCAGCAGTAGTTTACCTCTGCCAGTTTCCGTTTAGCTTTCTGCGCATGCGTGTCTGTAGCTAAATATACATGATCAGAAAGCAGTTTCTGTAAAAGTTTAAAGTATTTCTGAAGATCTGAATCCTCTACTTCAAGTGTTGATGAATGTCGCACAGTTCTTCCAATTTCTCTTGCCTGGTCAAAAATGAATAACAGTTGTTCTTATTGACTTTTACCTAAATACTATAAGTTAATTATAAAATTTACTGATAACTGAGAAACTGTTACGTTATACATGTAGTAAAAATACTAACTAGGATATGTATATATAATGAATTGCAAACAAGATAACAGCTCTGTTGATTTAAATGTCAATGCTAGGGGAGTGGTCTGCTAGGGTAGTGGTCTGCTAGGGGAGTAGTCTACTAGTTTCTATATATTAAAAATTCTTTATGCTCGCCTACAAATCCTTTTGCCGAAAATTCCCAATGTAGCAATTTGCTTTTATTTTAAGAAAGCATAACAAAATGGAAGTGTAACATATATATCATACGACTGTTGTATTTTACTTTAGGTCACTGGATATATATATTTGTCGTTTTTAGTACCTAAGGACCAAACATAAGTCTTCATAAATAGTATGTAAATATTGTTTACCTCCTCAAACATATTCGTCTTATTATTGAGGTTTTCATGTATTTTCATCTGGAAGTCTTTGTAATTGAGAATAACGCTAACTATACCATTGAAGTCTGTTTCTGTTGCAGATGCTTTATCTTTATACCCATCTGGGGGCATGAAGCATTTCGCCACTTCCCAGAAATTACTGCACCACTGGGTAGCATCAGTGTTTTTGTACGATGGACCAGAGTACCTATGCGCATTCTGTATCTCATTTGTAAAATTATGGCATATCTTTTTAGGGCAGCCAGCAGGATTGTACTTTCTTGCAGCATTTCGATGATAACTGCATTTTCCATGTCCAACATTGCATATTTTATTTGTTGGACATTTAATAACATTTTCAGTAGAGCAATTTGAACACAAAGTTCCACTAATCAATCCATTGTTGTAGCAAATACCATCTAAACATTTCAACCGGAATTCTTGAACTTCATGACACACAAAAGGTTCAAGTCCGTCTTTAGCAAACAACACTGCTAACTGGGCTTTAACCCAGTTATTGTATTTCTTCTCTGAAAGTTTTGGGCTATATGAAGCCATTGCTTACTTTGTCTTACTGAGTTAACATTATCGCATTGTTGAATGTCAATTTTAATCTGGAAAAAAAGAGTGTCTGGTGAAAACGTGTAATTTATACAGTTTCAATACTCATTAGGCTTTGAAATGTTGTTTAAAAATCTTGAAAGATATGTACACACTTTCGTCAGTAATATATAACCAGACCAAATATCAACTATTTTTATTTTCTTAAAAGCAAACAAATAAATGGTTTAAATAAATCAAAAAGAAAATTAAAGAAAAAAAATTGTCCTTTTTTATTTTTATAGAACAGTCTACACTTAATGATTTATCCAAGTTTGAATCATTTCAATACATAAATGACAAAGTTATGAATATATAAGATAAAAAATCTACCATATGACATTGACGGTCAATGCCATTTAAAAGTCAATGTCAAATCTAAATTATTCAACATGTCTTTTAGGTCATAAGTGTTGTTTTGTCATCCAAATATGAATGAAATCCGTACATAAATAACAGAATAACGACAAGTTAACCAAAATTAAATAATTTGACGGTCAAGGTCATTTCATACTCAAAGACAAGGCATGTTCAACGTTTTTAAACGGTCTTATCCAAAAGGTTGTTTTATCCAAGTTTGCAGATAATCCATTGATTAATTCCCAAATTACAGGGGTTACTTAATTTGCAAACGTTTTTATAGTAAAACTGTCTAAAATATCTTCCCTGAATGTACAATTTCCTGAGCTTAGAGTTTTACCTTGTTGTTTCCTACAGATATCTTATATAATTAATGGCCCTGGGGTCAAAATTGACTCTGCCCTGAAGCCTGAGTGTCACTTTACTTTATACTCTTGTATAGGAAAATACATTTTGAAGACTTCTTTTGGAAACTACAATGCAAAAGGTTTAGATATTTGGCATGAAATATTGCCTAGATGAGGTCTGCAAAAGTTTTATAATTAACGAAGTAAAAAAAAAGCCATGCTAAGGTGTCACTGAATTTACATAGATTTTTTAGTGGGAATGTCTTAGATTAAAGAACAATGTTATGTGTGTTAAGATACCGGTGAATTTACCTTTTGGTTCTCTGCACTTATCAACTGTCTCCGTTCTTCGATGGTCCACGGTCTTCAAAAACCTCAAAGACCGTCGATTCGAGGAGACCGACGATTAGTAGGTTATTAAAACAATTCGAACGACGTTCTGTTGGTTAAGCATAATTGATGTGAATTGGAAAGACTAAATGATAATTGCTTTTAATCAATATCTTTAATGATGAAAGTGACTTTAGTTAAGACAAAATTAAATTGATAATGAAAAAAGTGTTAAAATGCTAATAAATATTTTAGTAACTCAGATTTTATGTTTATTCAATTGCAATTCCAGAGAATTATAAGACAAAAACAAGAGAAAAATATAGGTGTATTGTAAGTCATTTAAATCTGATGAATTATGCTATAAACTTCATCAATAAAAATTATTAGTTATCAATTGTCACAATTGATATGAATTGTAGTGCCAAAGGATAATAGGTTATCAGTGTTAAAGAAGTGAATGATGAAATGAACTTTAACGGAAAAAAAAACAAATAGATTAAAAGACACACAAATGAAATGAAATATCAATATGCTAATAGGTATGTTTAGTTATTTAGGTCTTATATTTATGCACATTTGTAATGTGTATATGTTGTAAAATCATATATATATTACTTAATCCATTTAATATTTTAGTGAAACAAATGCTGTATAACGTATTGTTTAAATATTCTTTTTAATTCATTGCGAGATCTCGATTTATGTAATAACCTATTAATCGACGACTACCCCCCCCTCCCGAAAAAAAGATAAATAAATAATTTCCAATAAGTCTAGCTGAAGTCTTATCATCATACATGTTTATATACTGTGAATGTCCCTATCAGATGAAAGAACAAAATGTTTAAAAGAGATTCACAAAGTTTTGGAAGCCGGACCTAACTTCGCCCGTTAATGGCGGTAAATCTATATAATATATCAAAATTTATTTTATCATTTGTGGAATATATACAGCAAGCGTTATTTTGCATTCTTTAATTTATCTAACAAAAGACAGCAACATGTAGAAACAAAAGAAAACCTTTTAAACAAACTAACCTTTCATTTTATCCATTAATTCCTTGTTCAAGTACATCTGCGCATTTTCAAAATGATTTTGTCCACATGTTGACATTAAGTCACGTGATTGACAACTTGTAATACCCGTATTATCTATGTGACTGAATATTTAGCAAGTTTAAACGCGAACAAACAGATAATGCCAAACAAATTTAGAAGTGTATTCAAGTTTTAAAAATACTTTAATTGTTAAAGTTCTTTACGCACGTTTAAATGGCAATCGATATTTGAAATATAATAGAAGTCTCTGTCGATATGTATGGAGCGCCATTCAAATATTTGAAAATGTATATAAATTCAGATATTTAAGGTCTCCGAATATTTAAAGTGGACAAAATTTGTAATAGATTAGTCAAACAGGCCCATTATTCGTATTTCTTAAAACCTTTCAATGTTTATTATCTTGTTATAGTTTCCAAAAAGGAACTTACTGGCAAATTACCATAACCATTTTTTGCTTCTTTTGCTTTTTAGCATTTAGTAAAGTTATAGCGAATTAATATTTTGCATCAGTCAAAAAGTTTGCTTTGCTACTTTTGTGACAATTTAGTTATTATTTCATGTTCGAATTCACCACTGCTTTTTTCAGATGATACGCATCTAACGTGATTTAACACAATTATTTAAATATTATAAAACTCATGCTTGCCGTTTCTATAGAAGAAAAAAATATTCGTTTCTTAAAAGTTCGAGGGCTGCTTTATTCAATTATTGATATTTAAAAAAAATTTAAATCGCGCAATACATGAATTTAAGACCTCTACAATTCAACTGAAGTAAAAATAAATGTATGCGTATTGGTAAGAAATTATTACTCTGCATAGTAGGGAAGGTCTTAATCGGCGCAAAAAATGAATAATGGCCAACAACCATAGGACATTATTCATTTAAGGGCCGATTATCACCTTCTGACCCATCTTTGAATACACTTGACAGATCTAATAGTTGCATTTTCTAAAAAAAACATACTTTGATATTTCTTTCGTTAAAATTCAAGTTTCTGTAAATTTCTACTGCACTGTATAGTAACTTCTATAGACTTGCTCCCCTTGTGTGTATACAAAGCACACAAGATTCAATGAGCAAATTTTATTTTCATTTTCTCGGAATAAATTTGTCGTATATTTTCGTTCAATTTCAATAAATCTGTATTAGTACAAACAACGCTTACGTTCACGTCATAACATCAATCTACTTTCTATTTTACAGCTAGCTGTTCAACGTCACGTAATATGTGACGTTATTGTTTCATTTTCTGCAAGCACTTCATGTATTCAGCGGGTCGATTATGGTTATGTGTTTTCGACCCCGGGCCTCAAACTCATAATCGGTCACGTGACACTCATGATAGGCAATTTTGTTTCTTAGTACAATATATAGTAACAAATGTATAAAGTGAATCAATCTCTTACTACAGAATGATGTTAAAAGAATTCTGTAATTGAATTAAAGAGGTATTTGTCTTTAGAAACTCTGTAAATAATCATTTTATAGCGCGCTACAAATTAAATTTATAGACGTCTTGAATTCCTCTCTAAATAAATTTGACCTCGTTGAAATTGAATTTTATATATTTTGAAAGCAATGTAAAACAATTCCAATCCACACATACATGTATCCTTAAGTGTATAAATAGGTATTTTAATACTTGGAGGGTTTTCCCTGTAAAATATTTGTAGGTAAATATCAATTTCAATATATATATTTTATGAAAAGATATGTAGTAATTCAACTTATTGAAATGATAAGTTATCTTTAAATTTAATGTATCTTGTAAATTTCGGTCATTGCATTCATACCTGTCTAATATATTAACGGACAACATCGACAAATAAAATTTCTTATACAGTACACTCTCATGCTCTCATGCATAAACTACTTAGAATAGTTTAATCTTTTCCCAATGAGAAGATTAAACAATTATTACATCTATCATTATTACTCGTTATCTACTGGTCTCAAACCGGTACGGAATTAGACCAAACCCAGAAAGTAGTTCTTTAAAATTTTGAAGTGGCCCAATTTAATTTATATCTAGTTAGATTGGTCATAATAAAAGTGTATTTATTGCTTGTGTGTAGCTTTTGTGTGTTATATGATGGCTTCAAAAGTTGTTTTTTGTGTATTCTCCAGGAACTCACTTGTTGGCGGAATTATTAAAGATGTATTACCCACCAGCAGTCAGGAGTTTTTAAAGCGGTGAACAGAATGAAGATTTCTAATAAAAAAGTAGATGGCTGACCTATTATATTTTGGGCCTCATTGGACTTAGATGTTAATGTTTAAAGTTGAAGACAGTTTATAACTCATCAAGAACAATGGAATCCAGAATTGATTTTATATTTCACTTAATACATGCAAGATATGAAACATTTACAAGTATATGTATAGAGAAAAAAGTTAGAATTTGATGTACTTTTTTGTAAAAAAAAAGAATTACCATTGCTCAAAGAAGATATTGTACAGAAAATCTAGTTTCTTTATAAGTCTCATCCAAAAGTAAAACATAAATATCAGTTCCAAGTATCAACTACACTATCAGATACCGAAAAGGAAAATCAGGGACACTGATGCCGCTTTTTAAGCGACATTCTTCCGTGCTTAATCAAATGTTCTGGATATTTAAGAAATAATAATGGTATAATGTTTTAAGCTATCGCAGATGACTCCTTACAATCGCTGAAAATATAAGTATACAATGTCCATCTGATTAAAATCAGCTCTAAATAACGCTGAAATTTAGATCTGACCATCACCAATTACAGAGTCACTTCTTGAATCTTTTCAAACAGCCAATCATCGGCGAGCTTTCATAATTTTGAAATCGATTCTGTTTCTATTTTTAAACGGCTGTGAAAGTCCATTCAATGTTGGTGAGTTATGATATTTTTATTGTAAGCTTGAACAATCCTCAGATTTTTACCGGGTTTTGAACTCCGGATCTCTCGTCCGTGATAAATATATATCTGAACTTTAGTCAGATTGTAAACAATGTATACTGGATGAAATGCAAGATGATAGTTCAATGTGTAAGCAGGGTATAGCAGTCTACACTAATCCCCCTCCTTTTTAAAAAAGATCTGTAAAGGTTTTACTTTACACATAAAATGAACTTGTGAACTTCTTGCACTAGTTGTATAAGAAGAGTAGTCTGGAGAAACGTTAAAAATGAAAATCATGATTTAAGAGCCATAACTCTAACAAAAATTATTAAAACGGAAAATACCGACGATATGTATAACTAGACTTGATATTGATCATTCCGGTACTTTGAATGAAATTGCCCCAGTAGTTTTTGGGGGAGTAAACCGGACACATTTTTGATGGACGGACAGATGGACAGGCAGACGACGGAGAAGTGATCCTTTTACATAGCACTAGTCTGTAACAGGCGACACAATAAATGTGTGCCTTTAAAAAGTGGTTCAACTTGTTTTAACTTCAGATATTAAATAAATAAAAGAAAATATGTTCGTAATGGAATAAATCTGTTGATTAGATGATCAATGTGTTTTGAACAATAGAAGGAATTCTGTTTGTTTGTTTCATTTTACGCCTTTCCCCAACAGTATTTCAGTCATATAGGCGGGTATAGTTTCCTAACAATCGTTCCTGGAGAGTAACACCAGTACTAGACTACATTACATGGACCTTCCTCCGTGCTATACTACCAAAGCATCTCCCGGGGATCGAACCCCAGAGATGTAAGTGGATAAGAAGTCATCGACTCTAACCCCTCGACCACGGAGACAGTAGAAGAAATTCTGGCTATCAAAATGAAACAATGGATTTTTTTTCTTCTTTTCTTTTTGAAATGCAAAATCTTACTAGACAAGCATTTAATTATGATTAATATCAGCGGTTGCTTAACTATTTTATATTATATAATTTTTTGTGTGTTTAAATATCTTGAATAAAGTGATCCCCCGGAAACATTAAAATCAGCAAAAATACACGGAAACTCATGCTCCATTTGATTGAGTCAGGTCATGTTTTCGTATTGTAACATGGCCAGCGATTGGCTGAAAAGGTGCAGGGAAAACCGTAATATTTATAAAAAGTGTGTCGATCGGTCCTATGAAGGGGCCTCCGTGGCCGAGTGGTTAAAGTCATTGACTTGAGATCACAGGTCCCTCACCACTGTAGGTTCGATCCTCACTCGGGTCGAAATCTTTCATGTGAGGAAGCCATCCAGCTGGCTTACGGAAGGTCGGTGGTTCTACCCAGGTGCCCGCTCGTGCCTGAAATAATGCCCGGAGGGGCACCTGGGGTCTTCCTCCACCAATAAAGCTGGAAAAAAATCGACGAAAAATCTCGGCGGGACGCTCTAGGATGACCCGACTTGAGTGTACGGCGGCGACCTTAAATAAACGCTTAAAAAAAAAAAAACAGTCCTATGATCAGCATATAATTTCAATGAAAAGCGAGATAATCCTCTTTAAAGTCATTTTGAAAAAATAAATATTTGCTATCCCTTTATAAAAATGATTATTCAAATGTGTCAGGCATTTCGATTTCCAAAAAAATCACTTCTTTAGCACAAAAACCCAATTTAATGGTAGGATTAGGGACCATTTCTCAAATTGTAAGTCTGTGGGAAAGTCAATATGTAAGTCTGACCTAAACCCGATAACTGAGCATGCGTATTACACGTGTAATAAACTTCCGTTTTGCGGTGTTTTCATTTTGATCATTATTTTGGTAATAATTAGGTATTAGTTGTTTTTATGGACTTTATTTATTGAAAAGTTTTGAAAAAAATAACCATCTTCATATTTGCAATATGGTGTTTTTTTTCTTACCAACGTGAAACAAGTTTAGCTTATTTTTTATTATTTCGAAGTGCTGTATATTTCGGATATGCATGTTTCGTCATCAAGAATGTTGGACACTAAGGCCCCCACTGTTACATGTTAAAACAATTCACGAATTCGAAAACCTAGCTAAACGCCGTTTTCCGGTACTTTCTGTACATAGCTCTGGGGAATTCACCTAATGGAGTGTAATAGCGAACTCAATGTTTTCTAGTCCTATAAATATGACGTCGCTTTGAGATTTTTTGCTTCTTGGCAAAGCAACGTCATATCGAAATTGCTCAAAAACCCATAGCATGTTCCGCCAGAAAATCGGGCGGAACGAAAAACAATGAAGACAGCGTGTATTAACATATTTTTTGACCTATTAAGGCTATTTATGAACAAAACTAAAAAATAAATACCTTTTGTCAAAATAATTAAACTGTCACATCCGAAAAATCACGATTATATCCTCTCATGTATTTCGATTCCTTTTACAGCCGATAAACAAATGGCGGCCATAAAGGGCTCGAAATCTGATTGGCTAATTCAAATGCAAGCGTTTAACTGAGTCAGAACAATCTAATGGAATATTTTTTTAACGAAATAATTGCCCATGCACGGTCAGTGTGTTCGAATATATTTTTCCGTTCAAAAATTTGGAATCAATCAGAATCTGTAAAGCACCTTGCTTAACCAGTATGGCTGATAGACAAAAATAGATTTATGTTTATATTTTATTTTTAATTGATAAGTACATCGTTTATAGTTTTTGTGTATGATTGAGCATGAAATTGAAAGAAAATATGATAAGCTTTTGAATAAAGCTTGAAAGGCAGGACAATAGACATTTTTGGAATTTTTATGATGCTATGCGTTTTTGAGCAATAACTATTAGACGTCAGGCTTGACCGACAAAAACTATAACGTCTAATATATTGGACTAAATGTTTTCGGCCTTTTTAAAAATTAAACTGAAACAAAACAGTTATTTCTTTATAAGAAAATAATTAAATATCATTGTATGAATAATTCCATACAAAAAATAAAGTAAATACACAAGTTTACGCAGAAAATAACCTTATTAGTCCCCTACCGGTTTACCGGAGGGGACTTTAGGTTTACCCTCCGTCCCTCTGTCCGTCCGTCTGTCAGTCCGTCAGTCCTTCCGTCCACAAAACTGGAGCCCGCGATAACTTGAAAAGTACTGAAAATATTTTTATGAAACTTTGTATATGGATAGATGGCAGTATGGAGATTATGCACGTCTTTTTCTTTTCTTCCTATGTTGAAAATTCTGGTTGCTATGGCAACAAATAGGCTGAAAATATGGCAAATTTTACACATAAATTGAATCCAGTGATAACTCAAAAAGTACTGGAAATGTTTTTATGAAACTTGACATATGGGTAGATGGCAGTCTTGAGATTATGCACGTCTTTTTCTTTTCTTCCTATGTTGAAAATTCTGGTTGCTATGGCAACAAATAGGCTGAAAATATGGCAAATTTTACACATAATCTGGATCCAGTGATAACACAAAAAGTACTGGAAATATTTTTATGCAACTTGACATATGGGTAGATGGCAGTCTTGAAATTATGCACGTCTTTTTCTTTTCTTCCTATGTTGAAAATTCTGGTTGCTATGGCAACAAATAGGCTGAAAATATGGCAAGTTTTACACATAAATTGAATCCAGTGATAACACAAAAAGTACTTGAAATATTTTTATGAAACTTGACATATGGGTAGATGGCAGTCTTGAAATTATGCACGTCTTATCTGTTCTTCCTATTTTGAAAAAATATCAGTTGCCTTGGCAACAAATAGGCTTAAAACATGGCAATTATAACAATATTTGTGATAAGTCAAAAAGAGCTGAAAATTTTTATGAAATTGCATCTTTAATTCAAGAGTTATCTCCTCTTTAAGAATTTTGCTTTTAAAATTTATATTTTGGTAACAGGGATATTTCAAATATTAACTTTAGAGTGTCCTTCAGTCCTTCTGTCTGTCTGTTCATAAAAACTGTTTCCTGTGATCACTTTTAAAGAACTTTTCCAACAAAGTTACTGAATATAGAGAAAATTTGAAACATTAGTGAATGGCGTATGGCCCTTCAGAATTTTGATGGGGTTCTAAACGGTAGGGGACTTATGGATTGCTTGCAATACTATGATAATTGCTTGTTTATTATGGAAGATTCCACTACGTCTGTTTGAATTTTATTGATTTTCATTATAAACAATTTATTTTTTTGAATAATTTGCAATAGATATTAAACAAATATTGATAATTTTCAAAAACATCAATTTTTTTCACCTTAAACGGTTAAATAATGATAGAAAAATAGACATATCTTGTAACTGTGGTATGTACTTCATTTGGCGTAATTCCCCAGAGCTAAAACGGTAACGTCCCAGAAAACGGTGTTTAGCTAGGTTTTCGAAAAGGTCAATTCGTTTCGAGTTTCATTCGTAAACGATTAGGATATTTTCGTTTAGGATATTTTTTAAAGTTCAAACCTTTAAACAAAAAAAAACATGTTGTCTTAGCATAATGTTCTAATATTTCAAAGGAAGTGGCTAGCCGTACGGGCCCGTACGGCTAGCCAAAAGTTCTAGCCGTACGCGAGTCACGTAAGACTAGCCTGGACACACTGTATTGGCTAGCCGTACGGCACTTTTCAAAAATATATGGAAGTCGAAAATGCATATGTTATTTTGTGTCTTTAGACAAAGATTTTAATCAAATCTCCTCATTTGTCCTAGTTTGTTCACTTTAATAAAGATGCTCCGCAATTTTGCAAAAAAAATGAATACGAGTAAGCGTTGTATAATCTATCTTGTCAAAGTTGCATGTTATAACGTCCTTAATTTTCATGCTTATTATTTGTATGAAAGATGAATTGTTAAATCTGTTAATTAAGCACATGGATCGAATAAATAATGATCGGGGGGGGGGGGGATAGGAATAAATAAATAAATTAAAAGAATATTAGAAAAAACGGTGAAGAGGAAAAATAATTTAATTATGCAAAGTTTCCTTAATGATGGACGATGGACAAACTTCTACATACCGACGGTAATTGAAGCAATTATCAGAGCCCAACAACAATTATTTTCGGTGTCGATTAATCTCTAAAAAGTAAACATTCTTGACTAAAATCCTCGCTTTAAGTCATAATTAACATATGCACTTTCGCCTTCCATATATTTTTGAAAAGTGCCGTACGGCTAGCCAATACAGTGTGTCCTAGCTAGTCGTACATGACTCACGTACGGCTAGAACTTTTGGCTAGCCATACTGGCCCGTACGGCTAGCCACTTCCTATTCCAAAATATTAAGAAGCAAAAATATCTCAAAGCGACGTCATATTTATAGGACTAAATGTTCTAATTAAATATTACCTGTTACCATGAATTCTATATAATACACGGATTGACAGTTTCCGAACAAGCAGACAATAGGCTTTTCTTATCAGTAGAATTGCGAGGAAAGATAACTGATTGCGTATCTCACTGTATTAAACGTATGTAAAATGGTCTGCCACCGTGGCTCTACCGACTGAGCTATCCGGCCGCTTACACACTTTCTTCCCTGAATAGTGAACAGTTCTGAACCATGACATTAGCAATCATGTAAATGTTTACAAAACACTGTAAACGTTGGAGCCTTATTTAATTTGGACACACAGAGCAGGCTTTATCAAAATTTGATAAAGCCTGACAAATCAATCTTTTTTTGGCATTTAAAGGTATAACGATATATCGTACTTAAGGTATATTGTACTGTTTTAACTTGGTACAGTTCACAGTACAACAAATCACCTGTAAGGTACGGCATTTTAGACCATTTTCAAGGGGAGTAATTGCATGTATTTCAGTAAAAATTGCAGAAGATGAATTTAAATCCACATCAGTGTGTTTTAAGTAAAAAATATGGACGCATTTTGGATTTAAAGATGTTGAAATTTTTCAAAGTATTTGATTCCAAGCAGAACTCTGATTGCCATGGCAACCGAAAAAAACAACTTAAAATATCATCATTTAGAAAACAGAAGGAGCTAGAGCTTAAATATTTGGCATGAAATATCATCTAGTCAGTGTCTACCAAGTTTGTTCCAATAAATACCCTGGGGTCCAAATTGGCCCTGCCCTGGGGGTCTCTGATTTTCCTTAATTGGATATAGTAAAAACTTAAAAAAAACTTCTATAAAAAAACTAAGAAGCTAGAGCTTAGATATTAAGCATCAAACATCCTCTAGTGGGTGTCTACCAAGTTTGTTCAAATAAAAATGATAGATGGCTAGTTGTGTAAAGTTATTGCTACGCTATTTTGTTGGATACTTTCCACACCGTTCCGTACTGTCAGCAGATATATTTAAATTTTTGTAAATTATATGATCATTTCCGTTATGAATGTGTAATATAACTATGTGATAAAAGTAATTTTACTTAACCCTTTCGCTGCCAGAGGGTTATTGTTTTATTGTTCACCTATTTGCCAGAGGATTTTCTAGGAAATTACTATATTATTAATTTATATAATTATTATTTGTTATTAGTAATATAATAATTATATATGTTTCCAAATATGTTAGTATAATAATAATTATTGTCGATGGTATAATTTTCTTTATATTTATTATTATTATTATTATTATTTTATTATTACTATTATTATTATAGAAACGGCTAAAGCCGTCCATATGGCAAATACGCCGAAAATAACAGGGGCGGCTTAAGCCGTCCCTATGGCAGTGAAAGGGTTAAATTATTTTGTGTTCAGCTTATGCTCATTATGACACATAGTAGGCAAATTGTGTCATCTATAACTGATGAACATTTTAAATTTTACTATTAATCTTGAGTAATTTATCCCAAATAGTTATCACCTTACATATATGACATTTTCAATAAAAGTGTAATGTTTCTATTACCTGTGCATCTATATTGAATGATATTTTTTATTGTAGATATTTTAGTTCTAATAGTTTCAGAAAATATTAAAGCTTTAAGCCTTTTATTTTAACTATCAAAATGTCTATAGAAAACTTATTGACCAGTTCATTCACTTGATTTCAAGCCATACTGCATCATTTAATGCAAATGACCCATTTGATAAATACTTGGTAGTTACGAAATAATGTGGAAATAACTATAATGTTGTTACAATCACAACTTTAAATGAATTTTGCATAATAAATCTGGGTGAAAATATGTATATAATATTTTCTGTAAGTCAATCCATATGGTAATACATATCATATTATGGACCCTGTATACCGCGATACGTAATCTCAGTCAAAATGAAGTCTTGATTAAAAAAGTCAACTCAACTCAACATTTATTCGTGATATAGGCTACTGGCCCTTGACACATAAATGTACAATTCAAAAACCGTTGGTGTGTATACAATCGTTACATTAAATTTAAAATAAGTGAATATATAGTGTTAACATACTACATGTAAATTGTTAAACAGAAGACATATCTGTAAGATGTCAACAATATGTTGTTATTTAAATTCTATCTATTCTATATAATTTATTGTCGTAAGTGTACGAAGTATATTTATTGTAATAATTCTACTGATTAACAATGTGCATAATTATATTAAGATGATAATAATCATGAATGATGTAAACATAATTTAAAGCTACATGCTTCCAGATGAGTCAAAACATTTCAATAAAATCAAACTTGAGAAAAATGTACTAAGATGTAAGGAAAAGTAAAAATATTTTACATATTTTGTGCGATTAATATGACTGCTTTTTCAGTATTTACAACTATATTTTACTGCGTTACTAACGCAGTAAAGGGTTTTATGCATATTTTGATCACTTTTTGGTAATTTACGTTGAGTGTAAGTGCCATTGATAATGTGTAAATTGTTTTCTTTTGGTTGCTTCACGATATTACACATTCAGATACATTTTCAAAATTTTCATGAAAATTAGCTTGAGTCTGGAGGCATGCTGCTTTAATTGTATAAGTCAGTTTACATACAGACTGTTTGGAAAGTTTGACTTTACAAAGGTTTTTTATCCTTTGCAGATAATAATTGTCTTCAAAAATGAACTTGATACAAGCGATCACAGTGTTGCTGATAATAACACTAGTTTATGGCGGGGAAGATTTTTATAAGCTGCTCGGAGTACAAAGAGGAGCTAGTGTGAAAGAAATCAGGAAAGCATTCAAGAAAATTGCTGTAACAATGCACCCAGATAAAAACCCCGTAAGTTGTGTTTCATTTTAAAGAATATCTTACATGTACATGTATTGAAAAAAAAAATGAATATAATTATTTTATTTTTAGATTATATCATGTTCAAATTGTATTGTTTAATTGTCTTGTTGAATAACTTCGCTTTTGTAGAATACAGTATTGAAATTATTTAAGCCTGAACTTATTCAACTTTTATTTATAATGAATTACTGAAAAAGAGAGAACTTGCTATGATTTTGTTTTAACTTTGGAGGTATTATCATTATATTGTTCTTACAGAAAGTAGGTAAGAACATGGAAATTATTGTTTAAAGGGAGGGCGGGGATGGATGTTGAAGCAGGAGGTGCTAAGAAGGGGTGAGGTTACTAAAGAATATTTGTTTGGGGAAATTAATATTTTTGAGGTATTTAGAAAATGGCAACTGGAAAATGTTTAATTGGCGATACAGTAGGGGTCCAAGAAAATTTAAAACGGATATACAATGTAGGTGATGGGGGGATTTTGAAGATGGGGTGTGGTGCCTAGAAAATGTTTAATTGGGGAAGTAGATAGTGGGATGGAAGGAATTTAGATTGAGTGAGTGCAGATCCTGGAAAATATTTTATTGGGAAAATGGATAATGGGAGGGAGAGTACTATACTGAAACAAAAAAGAAACTTTCTCCAAGTTTGAATGAAGATATGTTTGTACAGTTTTTCAATCCTTTTGAAACTCTATTTTACGTTGAATAAACATATCAGGCTTTTATACGGGGGTTAGCTGACCGATTTTGCTAACAAAACGAGTTTTACAAGCTACTACATGTATATAAGTGTGTACATCTAAGTGATACCCTTGAACAACTGGCACATACTTTGCGAAACTTTCTTTTTTTGGTTCAGTGTACTTGATTAGGTAGAGGTTAATTTAAATTAGATTAAAAATTTAAGCTTGGGGTAATAAATGTTGGAGTGGGAGAGGTTTCAGGGGATTGGATGGGGATGTTGAAATGTTTGAAAAAGTTTAACTCAAAAAATTTGATTAAGTTGGTAGAGCTTAGTGGTAGGGTGTGGGGCCTTGGAAAAGTTTTCAGTAGGGAAAGTAATCTTATGAGGTTGTTTTGCAAAGATCATATTTTATGTTTCTAGGATGATCCTGATGCCCATGATAAGTTCCTCAAGATTAATAGAGCTTATGAAGTATTGAAGGATGAAGATCTGAGGAAGAAGTATGACATGCACGGAGAAGAGGGTTTGTCCGAAGATTTTGGACGAGGAAAATACGAAAGCTGGAAGTTTTATCAAGAGGAATTTGGTATGACCTTTTGTATAACAAATAAAAAACTTTTTAACTTAAGTTTCTCTGTGGTTTTGATTGAGGTTTCTTACCCAATACTGCTTCGGTTTCTGATTTATTAGTTAGTTGGATCATTATGACAAATGTAAATTATAAGTGCATATGAGTTAGCATTTATTTTGTTAAAATATGTTAACAAATGCCTAAAATTACTTTAAAGAGAATAAGAAAATACTCTAATGTTTTGAAGCTATGTAAAGGATAACTTTATGAGATTTATTTTTACAGGTATATATGACGATGACCCGGAAATTATCACGTTAACTCGGGCTGATTTTGGTAAGTAATTCTTCGAGTGTAAATAAATGATGAATATTACAAACATAACTGAATCATTTTGTTCATTTTATCTTATTTTACCTGTATTTTAACACATTTATTGGTTATTATCATATCTTAGGTGTCGACACACCTGACTGAATTTTCTGGACAACTAACCAGTAATAAACAACTTCTCCACAAGTGACAGACTACTTATCCCACATGATTTTCTGAATCAGGGGGGAAAATCAAATAGCCATTAGACCCAATGTCTGTGATCAGGGAGAAATTTTACCACACCAGAATATCGAACCAGTGTTAAACCAGTGTTCCTTAGATTATTAGTTTGATATAAGCACTATTATAGCATTCGGCACGATATGGCCAGTTATGTGTTGACGTGCCGTAAAAATCCAAACAAACTAAGCTATTAATCTAATCATGTAGACTTATGAATCAGTTAATTTTAACGTAAGGGGAGCAATTGCCTAGTGGTTATGGTGTCTGCCTCTCAACCCAGGGATCATGGGTTCGAGCCCTAATCTAGTCTTGGCCATGTTTCTAATCTTCATGTAACACCAGTACTGGTTGGTTTCAGGAAGCTGACTCAAAAGTGATTAATATAAGTTACAAGAACTTGTTTTGCAATCAAGCTTAAATAAAAATGTTTAAACCAATAAACCAGTAAATGTTGACTCATCTTGGTGTATTGTAATAAAGTGAAGCCACTGTTGCCAATTTTTTTGTAATACCTAATTATCTGTCATGTGAGAGGGAGGGTTTCCAATATAAGGAAAACCAATATGCTTACTCTCTGGTATCTGTAAACTATAAGTGTGCCAAATATATAAAACATCATACAAATGTATTTTTTATATTGAATATATGATACCTTGTAATTAAAACTTTCACAGTCATTTCCTAAAGCAGAAAAAACTTTTTTTTTTGAAAAACAAATTTGCAAATTGAATATGAGGTGTGTAAACGACATTTACATATACACCAGATGGTGATATTCCAGTATTTATGCTTATATGAGCCGCGTCATGACAAAACCAACATAATGGGTTTGCAACAAGCATGGATCCAGACCAGCCTGCGCATCCGCGCAGTCTGATCAGGATCCATGCTGTTCGCTATCAGTTTCTCAACTTGTTATAGAGCTGTAATGCTAATGTTAATTGATACATACATGTAACAGGTGGTAACACTTGGTTAATAAGAAAACAAATTATAGCCATTAAGTAACAGGTGAGGAATATTTATTGTTTATTCCACAAATGTTTCATACATTTGAACTATTGTGCTGTCGTCAAAGGGTCAAAATGTATTGATTCACTTAAAAGGACTCCAGTGAGGTTTTTGACATGACAGACTAGTATTCCTGTCAAGATTTGTGTACCATTTGATAAAAGTCTGGACTAGTAACTTCTGTGCAAAGTTTCAGATCGTTTGGTAAATCTGTTTTCCCACGTTAATCATTTTAAATTGTGCGAAATGAACTAAAAAATCAGGCTAAGAATTGCTCAAAAATTAAATTTCAATTTAATGCTCTCTCCCCCCCCCCCCCTATTTTGTGGTATTCGTGGAAAAGTCAGTCCAAGAAAATAAGATCCAACAAAATTTCATTTCTTGTAGCATTACTTTGCATTATCACATAAACCACAGGGCAGGAGTGTGATAAAGCCATTTGATAAAAATGGTATTACACTAGTGTAATACCACCTTGACGTGACATCATTTGTGTTACATATAAACATAGCTAATGTTAATCTTCAACTTATATATAAACATAGCGTTAAATCATGCTAATGTTAATCTCAAACTAAAAACAAGTCAATTAAAAATGACTCTTTTTACTGTAAACTTTTATGATTTCAAATACATTGAGTATGTGAGAAGTATTGTTTTTGTGTTACTAAGATTCAATACTAAATTTATTTAACTTGTAGAATAAACAATTTGCGCCATTTCAATAAATTTAGTATTAAATCTACAGTCATTCAAGATCCTCTATTATTACATTATTTGAACTTAACTTTTTTGCGGAAAAACTTTTTTGCGGAAAATAGAACCAAACTTAATAACCAACGGAATTGTCCTTTATGAGAAAACTACAAGATTTTGTGACGTTGAAATTAAGTGAATTCACAGTATTGGTTGAACTGTTTTAATTGCAGTATTGTACATGTACATAAAATACATAGTTTACATACACTGAACTTCATGACAGGAAAATTTATAGAGTTACGATGAAGGAAGTTAAATGTACATGTGTGTATTAAAGGGACTCGACTGAGGGTTTTAAAGGCACAACCATACATTTTTTAATTCTTTAGAAATGTCATACAATACATGTTTTAAAAAAAATTTAATGATGGATTAAGAGCATGTTAGATTTTTTACAACTGAAATATATAGCAAGTAGGTATTTTTTTCTGAAACTGTAACTAGAAACCAAAACTAAACAGTTTTTTTGGAAATCAAAATTACAGCATTTATGAGGCATAATGGGGCTTACAATGACAGAACAGAAAATAATTAATGTTACATCCATTTGATGAAGGTCTAGACCAATAACTTTTGTGCAAATTTTCATTCAGATCATTTGCCCATTCTGTTGTACCAGAATGAATATTCTAATTGTAAAAAAAAGAGTCAGAATTGAAAGTTTTTCACTCAAATTGGGCTAAAAAATACTTTTTGCAGTTTATTTCTGAGCATATTCCTTTATTATCTTTTGTATATCTTTCTGTTATAAGTGCCGCAACTGATCTTTGTAAAAATTCAAATTTTATGTTTTTTGTCATTTAGACCTCAGTGAAGTTCCTTTGATGTTTTCATTTAATGATGTTTTCATTTAAATTTGAGCCGCGTCACGACAAAACCAACATAATGGGTTTGCGACCAGCATGGATCCATGCTGTCCGCTTACCATCTCTATTACAAGTAGAGAAACTGATAGCGAACAGCATGGATCCTGATCAGACTGCACAGAGGCACAGGCTGGTCTGGATCCATGCTGGTCGCAAATGCATAACATTGGTTTTGTCATAACGCGGCTCTAATGATGTTTTCATTTTATTGTTTTACAGAAATGTCAGTTGAGAGTACAGATGATGTGTGGTTTATAAATTACTACTCACCTCATTGTTCCCACTGTCATACATTAGCCCCCACTGTAAGTATTACATCCCCCTTTCCTAATGCCCCTGACAGGGTTTGAACCCATGCGATCAGCAATCCTAAGATTACTAGTCCGACGTGTTAACCACTCGGTTATGCCGCCACTCAAATCAGTTAATTTGAATCAATTAATGTAATAGAAATGTTAATATGATCATGGAAGATGACTGAAAAAAAGAGAAAAAGATTATATTATAGTGATCTTTGTCAGTGATTTATAACATTATATAGATAGTTTTAAATATGTTGTATATTTGTGAACTTAACCATTTCACTTCCGTAAAGACGGCCTAATGCCGTCCCTATTATTTTCGGCGTATTTTCGGCATATTTGCCATATGAACGGCTTTTGCCGTTTCTATATTAATAACAATAATGATAATAATAGTAATAATAAATATATAGATAATTATATCATCAACAATAATTATTATTATACTAGCAGATTTGGAAACATATATAATTATTATAATACTAATAACAAATAATAATAATTATATATTAATAATATAGTAATTTCTTAGAAAACCCCCTGGCAAATAGGTGATCAATAAATCAATAACCCTCTGGCAGCGAAAGGGTAAAGTGTATTTGTTTTTTTTCAGTGGCGGGAAGTTGCTCGTGAGCTGGAGGGTGTTGTACGTATTGGTGCTGTGAATTGTGAGGATGAGTGGCAGTTGTGCAGAATGCAGGGAATACGATCCTACCCTTCTCTAATGATGTATCCGGCTGTAAGTTCATTTGAGCTGCGTCAAGACAAAACCAACATAGTGCAATTGCCACCAGTATGGATCCAGACCAGCGTGCGCATCCTCTCAGTCTGATTAGGATCCATGCTGTTTGCTATAACTTTCTCTACTTGTTATAAGGTTTGTAAGCGAACAGCATGGATCCTGATCAGACTGCGCAGAGTAAATAGTAAAGCTGGAAAGTTACCATATAATGACCTATACTGTGACATAAAACCCAAACAAACAAAATGACTGTATTAATAATGTATTTAGCCTCAGTATATCAAATGTGAAGGTCATAGTGATTTTAAAAGTTGAAGTTGTTTCTGTAGTTGTAGTTGTTCATTTAACAATATCAGATTTTGAAAATTTCAAAAAAGTAAGAATTACAATATACTAAAAATTATAAAGACACCAGATTTACAGGAATTTCTGGAGATTAATTTTCTTTTGAAGTTATTCAGTATAAAATGTAGCCAGAAACTGTGAAAGCAAATACTTAATATTACTTTGTAATAAAATTTTCAGGTAGAGAAATACTATGGGGACAAGTCAAGGAAAGAGCTGGTAAAATATGCATTGAAACATACCCGGGTATCTGTGACAGAATTATGGAAGGGTAACTACGAGGATGTGGTGACACGAGGAGATGATGATCTCCCTTGGTTGATTACATTTTGTAGTGATGATGGAGGTATGAATGAGCCAGGTCACGACAAAACCAACATAATGGGTTTGCGACCAGCATGGATCAAGACCGGCCTGCCCATCCACGCAGTCTGATCAGGATCCATGCTGTTCGCTTACAGACTCTATAACAAGTAGAGAAACTGATAGCGAACAGCATGAATCCTGATGCGGATGCGCAGGTTGGTCTGGATCCATGCTGGTCACAAACCCATTATGTTGGTTTTGTCATGACATGGTATAAATAGTTTTCAGATGGTTTTTTCTCCTTGGGGAAGTAGGGCATGGACAGTTTAAGGGTTCTCATTATAAGCAGATTGAAGATTTATATCAGCAGTTGTATTTTCAAACTATAGATTTAAGAAGTATTTTCAACCTGTAGATTGAAGTGTCCCCCTTGATCATTGGCCAAATTGGTTGTTTTTGTTGGCACATCTGTTGCCTCAGATAAAAATGAAAACCGAGACCTAGGGAGGGTTGGGGGAGGGGGGTGCCGAGGTTTTATAAGAGATGCTGAGTAATTTAATATAAGAGCCAAGATTAAACAAGATTCTGGTCCAAATCAAAAACTATACACACAAAATATCTCGGAAATTAACTCTTGTGATCAAATTATTGTGAATAATTTAGAATGGTGGGTGTTTGTGTAGATAGAAAATAAATATTTATTTATGAGAAAAGATTAATTTGGAAAAGATGGGTTTCAGTAGCTCTTCTGATTATCCATTTCCCTACCAGTATGTTGATCAATTAGTTAAGGAAATGTTAAGAAAATTGTGGAAAAATTACCGAAACTTTTACAACATATATTTGAATAATTTTTTACTTCATGTATATAAAATATCAAAATTACCTTAATGGTAGAGTTAAGATGAAACGACTTTGTTCTAAACTCTATCGAAAACATGTTAGAAACACCATACAAAATCCATAAATAAATAATTTCAGGTTCTAATAAAAAGTATTCTTGTCTTGTTGGCAAATAGATGGTAATGCGACTGGGGTGGGTAATTTTGTTTTGTTGGGGCTTTTAGTAAGAAGGGTATATATAAAGGCAGTGAAGGGGTGTAAGTAAATGAAAGAGCATCAAAACACAAGGCTACCTGATTTGTACGAGGGGGCTACCCCGAGTATTAATCAGATTGCCGAGTGTTTTGATGTTCTTTCTCTTTTGTATCATAGTCAAACATAAAATACGTTCCCTGTTGTCACAATATGAAACCCCGGAAAAAAGCAACCAATGAACGAGCATCTGAATATGACATTTCCATCGCTATCCCTTTCCCTGCACAATTGCACAATAAGTAAACTCCAGCAAAAAAGAGCCTGCTCTGGAGTGCGGGTAACTAATACCTGCACTCCAGTTAAGGCACGGTGCATGTATATGATTTAACTCTGACACTTTTGCAACAGAAAGGTCCCCAAACTATGATACAAGTAAATGAAAGAACATCGAAACCCGAGGCTCTCTGATTTGAACAAGGGGGCATAGCCCTCCCCCCATCCCCCCAAGTATTTATCAGATTGCCTAGTGTTTTGATGTTCTTTCTTTTTTGTATCATAGTCAAACATAAAAACACGTTCCCTGTTGTCATAATATGAAACCCCAGAAAAAAGTTACCAATGATCGAGCATCTGAATATGATATTTATATTGCTTTCCCTTTCTCTGCTGTCACAATAAGTAAATCCCAGCAAAAATGAGCCAATGGTTGGGCATGCTCTGGAGTGCGGGTAACTAATACCTGCACTCCAGTTAACGCACTATGCATGTATATGTACGATTTAACTCTGACACATTTTCAACAGAAAGGTCCCCAAACTATCTTTCCCCTTCCATGAAAGAAAAACATCGCTAATCTTTTGATGATATTTATGAATTGTTAAATTCCTTTTAAAAATTTGCAATTGAAGTTCAAACTCCTTCAGTATGTAAATATTTGTTAATTTTGTTTATGTAAGTTTATTATATATTTGCAGACTGCCTGACAAAAAGTACAGCACTTAAAGTAGCAGGAATGTTGGTGAGTTGATTGTGCACTGTTTTTTTTGTGTACCATTTGATTGTGTACTTGTTAATTATGTACTAGTTAATTATGTACTTGTTAATTATGTACCATTTGATTATGTACTAGATGATACTGTACCAGTTGATTATGTACTAGTTAATTATGTACTATGATTTAAGCTTAAATGTTATAAGTAAGCTTACTTGAACATACATTTGTACCGGTGAAAGTGTATTATAAAGAAACATGACTTTACCCAAGAACGGCTTGAACCTGATAGAAATTGTTTTCAAGTCGAAAAGGTGAAGAAGAAATACATTTGTAATACATGAAAGTGCCCTTAAAATTCTTAAGTTTAAAATTATACACAAAAAAAATATTCTTTGCTATGTGGTATGATATAATGATAATTCTAACACGACCCGCATGTTTCCCTGTTTAACATTAAAGAACAGAAAGTGTGTGTTATTATGCTATAAAAGCACTGATTGACATTCTATATTAGACATGTGACGTAATCATTATAATACATGTGACGTAACCACTTTGAAATCCAACATGCTGACAATAAGTATGAAACAAATCATGCGCAACTTAGCTTAATATCAGGTACAGCAGCATTAATTTGTTGATGTCATGTTAGAATCGAAATAATATATACAAATCGGTGATTTTATCGCTTGATAACATCACTGTTTGTCATTTAGATGCGCATCTTTATATCAGGATTTAATTCCTCGCATCTGAACTCCAAACAGTGATGTTATTAAGGGATAAAATCACAGTTTGGGATATATGATTTCTTTATTATATTACAGGATGAGTTGGTTAATGTAGCAACAATGGATTGTCATGGAAACAATGCTGAATTATGTGACTCTCTAGGACATAACCATGGAACATATTTTTATCAAAATGGAGAAGTAAAGAAAGGAGATGGTTTGGTATGTACAGATAAATTGAGCCGCGTCACGACAAAACCAACATAATGGGTTTGCGACCAGCATGGATCCAAACCAGTCTGCACATCTGCACAGTCTGATCAGGATCCATGCTGTTCGCTATCAGTTTATTTACTTGTTATAGGGTCTGTAAGCGAACAGCATGAATCCTGATCAGACTGCGCGGATATGCAGGCTGGTCTGGATCAACGCTGGTGGCAAACCCACTATGTTGGTTTTGTCGTGACGTGGCTCAATTATACATAAAGGCAACAGTAAATATTGCACGATTTGTTTTCTTGTAACTTAAGATGTTAAAGGGACTCCACTGAGGATTTTTGACATAAATAGACTGAAAGTAGTTTATTTGGAGATTTCATTGCTATTTGATGCAGGTATATACCAATAACTCATGTACAAATTTCAAATTATTCCCTTACTATTTATTCCAAAATGATCATTCTTTACTGTAGTACATTTCTTTATTTTCTTTTTTTTTCATATTTTTACATTCCCATGTTGATATATGTAAGATTTTCAAATTTTATGTTTTTAAGCTTTTAGACCTCAGTGAAGCTCCTTAATGTTTTGTGGTTTAAAATTGCATCAAGGTAGTAATCCTTGAGTTGCTGGCTCTATCTGTAGGCAAGCTGGCTCTCTCTGTAGGTAAGGTAGAAATTCCCTGTCATTAGTCTTGGACATTAGATCTGATTGTTATTTGTTTCTCACAGCTTATTCAGAAATCATGTGAGATTAGTAGTTGGTCACTTGTTGAGAAGTTTAGTAATTACTGATTTGTTCCGGAAAGCTGGTTAGTTATTCAGGAAAGCTGGTTAGTTATTCAGGAAAGCTGGTTAATTATTCAGGAAAGCAGGTTAGTTATTCAGGAAAGCTGGTTAGTTATTCAGGAAAGCTAGTTAGTTATTCAGGAAAGCTCGTTAGTTATTCAGGAAAGCAGGTTAATTATTCAGGAAAGCTGGTTAGTTATTCAGGAAAGCTGGTTAATTATTCAGGAAAGCTGGTTAGTTATTCAGGAAAGCTGGTTAGTTATTCAGGAAAGCTGGTTAGTTATTCAGGAAAGCTGGTTAGTTATTCAGGAAAGCTGGTTAGTTATTCAGGAAAGCTGGTTAGTTATTCAGGAAAGCTGGTTAATTATTCAGGAAAGCTGGTTAATTATTCAGGAAAGCTGGTTAGTTATTCAGGAAAGCTGGTTAATTATTCAGGAAAGCTGGTTAGTTATCCAGGAAAGCTGGTTAGTTATTCAGGAAAGCTAGTTAGTAATTCAGGAAAGCTGGTTCGTTATTCAGGAAAGCTGGTATGGTGGATCAGCGACTTAGGTTGAACCAAAACAAAGTGTTAAAATCTGTGTAAAACCAGAAATACAAACAAACAAGTTAAAAATTGTTTTTAGGAAAAATGGTAAATATTCAATCCAGACAAAAGGAAATGTCAACCAGGTACCAGAATGCTAGATAGGTTATCTTTTTTTAGTATGATTGTCATAAAGCATGAATTTTCGATGAACATGGTGTCTTCAACCTCAACAAACAAACAAGTATGACACTTCTCTTTGCTCCTCCTTTTGCCCATCTTGATTTTTTTTTCGAAGTTTCACATTACACGTATTCTGAATACCTATTTCAGTTATAAATGCATTTAAATTTCAGGAGATAACCAGTCTGGTAGCACAAGAGATAGCTAATGAGATTTTATCACAGTTGCCTGATGTAACCATTCTAGATCAACACAAGTTTAATGTAAGTTATAAATCTTGTAACAATTCTAGATCAACTCAAGTTTAATGTAAGTTATAAATCTTGTAACCATTCTAGATCAACACAAGTTTAATGTCAGTTATAAATCTTATAAACCATTCTAGATCAACACAAGTTTAATGTAAGTTATAAATCATGTAAACCATTCTAGATCAACACACAAGTTTAATATAAGTTATAAATCTTGTAACCATTCTAGATCAACACAAGTTTAATGTAAGTTATAAATCTTGTAAACCATTCTAGATCAACACAAGTTTAATGTAAGTTATAAATCTTGTAACCATTCTAGATCAACACAAGTTTAATGTAAGTTATAAATCTTGTAACCATTCTAGATCAACACAAGTTTAATGTAAGTTATAAATCTTGTAACCATTCCAGATCAACACAAGTTTAATGTAAGTTACAAATCTTGTAACCATTCCAGATCAACACAAGTTTAATGTAAGTTATAAATCTTGTAAACAATTCTAGATCAACACAAGTTTAATGTAAGTTATAAATCTTGTAAACCATTCTAGATCAACACAAGTTTAATGTAAGTTGTAATCTTGTAAACCATTCTAGATCAACACAAGTTTAATGTAAGTTATAAATCTTGTAAACCATTCTAGATCAACACAAGTTTAATGTAAGTTATAATCTTGTAAACCATTCTAGATCAACACAAGTTTAATGTAAGTTATAAATCTTTTAACCATTCTAGATCAACACAAGTTTAATGTAAGTTATAAATCTTATAACCATTCTAGATCAACACAAGTTTAATGTAAGTTATAAATCTTGTAAACCATTCTAGATCAACACACAATTTTATTGTAAGTTATAAATCTTGTAAACCATTCTAGATCAACACACAAGCTTAATATAAGTTATAAATCTTGTAACCATTCTAAATCAACACAAGTTTAATTAAGTTATAAATCTTGTAACCATTCTAGATCAACACAAGTTTAATGTAAGTTATAAATCTTATAAACCATTCTAGATCAACACATGTTTAATGTAAGTTATAAATCTTGTAACCATTCTAGATCAACACAAGTTTAATGTTAGTTATACATCTTGTAACCATTCTAGATCAACACAAGTTTAATGTTAGTTATAAATCTTGTAACCATTCTAAATCAACACAAGTTTAATGTAAGTTATAAATCATGCACCATTCTAGATCAACACAAGTTTAATGTAAGTCATAAATCTTGTTACCATTCTAGATCAACACAAGTTTAATGTAAGTTATAAATCTTGTAAACCATTCTAGATCAACACAAGTTTAATGTTAGTTATAAATCTTGTAACCATTCTAGATCAACACAAGTTTAATGTAAGTTATAAATCTTGAAACCATTCTAGATCAACACAAGTTTAATGTAAGTTATAAATCTTGTAACCATTCTAAATCAACACAAGTTTAATGTAAGTTGTAAATCTTGTAACCATTCTAGATCAACAGAAGTTTAATGTAAGTTATAAATCTTGTAACCCTTCTAAATCAACACAAGTTTAATGTAAGTTATAAATCTTGTAAACCATTCTAGATCAACACAAGTTTAATGTAAGTTATAAATCTTGTAACCATTCTAGATCAACACAAGTTTAATGTAAGTTATAAATCTTGAAACCATTTTAGATCAACACAAGTTTAATGTAAGTTATAAATCTTGTAACCATTCTAAATCAACACAAGTTTAATGTAAGTCATAAATCATGCACCATTCTAGATCAACACAAGTTTAATGTAAGTTATAAATCTTGTTACCATTCTAGATCAACACAAGTTAAATGTAAGTTATCAATCTTGTAACCATTCTAGATCAACACAAGTTTAATGTAAGTTATAAATCTTGTAACCATTCTAGATCAACACAAGTTTAATGTAAGTTATAAATCTTGTAACCATTCTAAATCAACACAAGTTTAATGTAAGTCATAAATCATGCACCATTCTAGATCAACACAAGTTTAATGTAAGTTATAAATCTTGTTACCATTCTAGATCAACACAAGTTAAATGTAAGTTATAAATCTTGTAACCATTCTAGATCAACACAAGTTTAATGTAAGTTATAAATCTTGTAACCATTCTAGATCAACACAAGTTTAATGTAAGTTATCAATCTTGTAACCATTCTAGATCAACACAAGTTTAATGTAAGTTATCAATCTTGTAACCATTCTAGATCAACACAAGTTTAAAGTAAGTTATAAATCTTGTAACCATTCTAGATCAACACAAGTTTAATGTAAGTTATAAATCTTGAAACCATTCTAGATCAACACAAGTTTAATGTAAGTTATAAATCTTGTAACCATTCTAAATCAACACAAGTTTAATGTAAGTCATAAATCATGCACCATTCTAGATCAACACAAGTTTAATGTAAGTCATAAATCTTGTTACCATTCTAGATCAACACAAGTTAAATGTAAGTTATCAATCTTGTAACCATTCTAGATCAACACAAGTTTAATGTAAGTTATAAATCTTGTAACCATTCTAGATCAACACAAGTTTAATGTAAGTTATCAATCTTGTAACCATTCTAGATCAACACAAGTTTAATGTAAGTTATCAATCTTGTAACCATTCTAGATCAACACAAGTTTAAAGTAAGTTATAAATCTTGTAACCATTCTAGATCAACACAAGTTTAATGTAAGTTATAAATCTTGTAAACCATTCTAGATCAGAAAAGATTTTATGTAAACTTTAGCTCTTGAAACCATTCTAAAACACTAGTTTTATGTAAGTTGTAAATCTTTTAACTATTTACCTAAGTATCTCATATGAAAAAGTCTTTTGCTTAAACACTGTTCATGAAATATTTATGTCATATATTTTCTTTCTTCATTTCTCTTTAACAGAAGATACTTGTGTCAAATTTTCACTTGCATTATTAATCTTTATATGAGATTCATATGTTATCAATCTTTATCACATAAACCGTGGCACTGGAGTGTAATAAAGCCATTTAATAAAAACGATATTACACTAGACGATATTACCCTAGTGTTATAACACTTTGATGTCATTTGCAGTATAAACATTGCGTTAAAGCACGCTAATGTTAGCGTTACACTATAGGCGCATCAAAGAAAAATGACTCATGTTAACTGTTTACAGTTCTTACTTTATATATGTGATAAATAGAATATTATATCCGAGAATTTCAATACTGTATTTAATTAATTTGTTGAATAAAACATTATTATGCTTGCAGAGGTTGCATAGTATGATTTTATTCAACTCGTTCAATGTCCTCTATTACTATTTACATCAAATCCTTATGTACAATATCATTTTGTTTTATTTTACTTACAGGAGATCCTAATGTCATATATTCTCATGCTTTATAACACTTTACAGGAGATCCCTATGTCATATATTCTCATGCTTTATAACACTACAGGAGGTCCTTATGTCATATACTCTCATGCTTTATAACACTTTACAGGAGATCCTTAAGTCATATATTCTCATGCTTTATAACACTTTACAGGAGATCCCTATGTCATATATTCTCATGCTTTATAACACTACAGGAGGTCCTTATGTCATATACTCTCATGCTTTATAACACTTTACAGGAGATCCTTAAGTCATATATTCTCATGCTTTATAACACTTTACAGGAGATCCTTATGTCATATACTCTCATGCTTTATAACACTTTACAGGAGATCCTTAAGTCATATATTCTCATGCTTTATAACACTACAGGAGATCCTTATGTCATATATTCTCATGCTTTATAACACTTCACAGGAGATCCTTATGTCATATATTCTCATGCTTTATAACACTTCACAGGAGATCCTTATGTCATATATTCTCATGCTTTATAACACTTCACAGGAGATCCTTATGTCATATATTCTCATGCTTTATAACACTTTACAGGAGATCCTTATGTCATATATTCTCATGCTTTATAACACTTTACAGGAGATCCTTATGTCATATATTCTCATGCTTTATAACACTTCACAGGAGATCCTCATGTCATATATATTCTCATGCTTTATAACACTTTACAGGAGATCCTTATGTCATATATTCTCATGCTTTATAACACGTACAGGAGATCCAGATAAATTTAGAGAAGCACACAGATTTACCATGGCTGATACATTTTGTAGAAGGAAACGAGGGCAGGCATTTAGAACTACGAAAATTGCCAGCGATGTTAAGTGACATGAATGTAAGATATCTGTATACTTAAGCTGATTTTTTGGTGTTTTATTATCAAAATTAAATTTTAATCATTAATTTTCTTTAATAAAGCTATATGCTGCCATATGAGAGGACATATTTTCAGATAATTGAACTATTAAACATAATGATTCAATATATTAAATTAAAAAATTATATTCAGCCTCGTCATGTCCAAAAAAAAACATCATTAGAGTCCCTGTAGTCTTTAGTGAAAGCTGGAAAGTTGCCAAATGACTTGACACACAACATCAGTGTAGTTTGATTCTCAAACAAAACAGACATGAGAAAATATATTTGAGCCACGTCATGACAAAACCAACATAATGGGTTTGCGACCAGCATGGATTTAGACCAGCCTGCGCATCTGCGCAGTCTGATCAGGATCCATGCTGTTCACTTACAAACACTATAACAAGTAGAAAAGCTGATAGCGAACAGCATGGATCCTGATCAGACTGCGCGGATGCGCAGGCTGGTCTGGATCCATGCTGATCGCAAACGCACTATGTTGGTTTTGTCATGACGCGGCTCATATTTGAATTGACTGTTATATTTTGCACAGGTTGGTAGAATAGACTGTGAGGTGATGCGTGGAATGTGTAATGAGCTACATATAAACAAATTCCCGAGTTTCCTTGTGTTTAAACAATCTGGTGGTCATGAGATCTATTACGGTAAGAGAATGAAATAAAGATGTTTGTTTAATGTGAGTGAATACCGTATTGTTTCCATTTAACATCCTGCAGTTATTCAATTTTGTAACAAGGTTTTAGCTAAGAAATCAACCTGACCAGTTTGAACGGATAAACCAAACATCCCTACTGAGAAACGGGAAAATAGCACCATTTACTTGAGCAAGTGCCGAATGAGTGTAAAATTCTAATACTATCGGAATTTCTTTCTATACAAACAAAGAAGGCCAGAAATGTGCATTATTCTACAAAAATGCACTCTCCGTTCTTTTTACCTCCGTATATTTTCAAATAGACACATTGATGGCGCCATTTTTGTTTGAAAAATCTAATAAATAAAAAAATAATTTTTTGTCGAATTTTGTTATGAAAAGTATTGATCTAAAATGAAAGAAAATGGTCTAACTAAGAAAAATGAATCCGAACATGAGTATTTTCGATTCATTCATTAACGCTGTACACAATGTAGCGCAAAACAGCATGTGCAAAAACAACCTGGTTCTTGCTTGATAATTGTAAGAGTGACTGCCCTTGCTTTAGAACTGAACTGTTACTTTTTCTTTTTTACAGGAAGAGTTACTGCCCATGATGTAGCAGCTTTCGCAAGAGATGCCTCTGTGATAAGATTAGAAGCATTGAGCCCGAAAGATTTTGATTCACAAAGAGTAGGACCCGCAAGTTCACAAGTCTGGTTTATAGATTTCTTTGCACCTGTGAGTCAACTTTATATTAACACTTACCCTGCGAAACTTAATAGATATACCTTGCTTTAAACACTTTATAAACTGAGAACTATTGTACTTAACAAAGCATCATTGTTACTGTCAAACAATTAAGTTTTTGCGTGCATGTTGCTATCTCCAAAAAATACTGAAGGGAATGGGTTGAAACTTCACATACTTATTTGAGAGCATGATAGGAGTTTACTTTCCAAGGCCCTTAACTCTATCATGGATTTTGACAGAATTACAGCCCTTTTAAACTTAGAGAATTCTTCTATATCTGTCCTAAAATTTCTTAAATATCCATGCTTGTTTTACTATCTAGCACTAAGAATACTAATATTGTGTAGCTTGTTGTCCTATGGACAGTTTTTGTTTCAACTTTAAAGAATTGGTTAGTTTAAACATATTTTTACCCAATATAAATACAAATACATAAAGCAGAAAAGAATTGGACTGCAAAAAAATGTGTGTGTTTGTTACAGTTTCCTGAACAGTACTCATAGGTCCTATACTTGAACCATCTTTCAATTATTTTACAATTAATAAAGTTATAGTGTATTAATACTTTTTAATACACTTGTTACTATATATAGTAACAAAATTGCCTATGATTTCAACTGATTATGAGTGTCACGTGACCTATTATTAGTTTGCGGCCCGGGGCCGAGAACTAGTTATCAGCCCGCAGAACATGTGCACGTGCACAAACTGAAACAATGACGTCATATTTTACGTCATCAAACAGTTAACTGTAAAAGTGAAAGTAGGTTGTCAGCACGAATCGCTTTATTTTTTTTATGAGAGCTTAAGCGTATTTAGTACAAACACATTTTGTATAATACGATAATACGACAAATTCATTCCGAAAAAAAATGAAAATAAAACTTGCTTCTAGATTCTACTGCTTTGAACACACAAACAATAGACTCTAAACATCTCTGTACAGAACAGTAGAAGAGTACTGTAGACAAGAATTTCAACGAAAGAACTTCAAAGTATTTGTTGTTTTTTTTTTTTTTTTTAAATGCTACTATTAGGTCTACCAAGTGTATTAAAGACATTAATACACGTCAGAGTAGGGCCGGAAGGTGATAATCGGCCCTGAATGAATAATGGCCCTCGGGTCCATTATTCATTTTGCGGGCCGATTATCACCTTCCGGCCCTCTCCTGCCATGTATTAACCTCTTAGTACTGATGACTGTGTATAATGTACTGAAAACAGTCTAAAAATTTACTGAAGACGGTTTAAAATGTACTGAAAACAGTCCAATATGTATTGAAGACAGTCTAAAATGTACTGAAGACAGTCTTAATTGTACTGAAAACAGTCTTTTAGACAGAATGCCACTTTGTTTACATTTGCTACTTTTTTGACAAATTGTATTACAGTCAACACTACCCTCTCTATGCAGTATGAGCATTTAACATGCTTTAAATCCAATATTAAAGCTACATGTCTCCAGATGATTCAAAATATTTCAATAAAATCAAACTTGAGCAAATGTACTAAGATGTCAGGAAAAATAAAAAGTTTCAAGATTCAAGTAATATTTTACATGTTTTGTGGGACTGATGACTGTTTTTGCAGTATTTACAAGTACATTTCTATTTTGTTACTAATGCAACTAGGGCTATTTATGCATATTTTCCCACTTTTTGTTTTTTTACCAATTTACTTGGTTTGTAAGTGCCAGTGATAATGTGTTAATTGCTTCCTTTTGTTTTCTTCACAATATTATTATTAAACATTCAAATACATTTTCATGAAATTTAGCATGAATCTGTAGGCGTGCTGCTTTAAAACAATAAAATACATTTGATTGCCATTTCTTTAGATGAGAAATCGTTTGTCATTGATGACCATTCATGTGACTTTCCTTGATTAAAACTTTCCCGCGTTTTAATTTCTTCAGTGGTGTCCACCTTGTATGAGATTGTTACCAGAGTTTAGAAAAGCTGCGAAGAATTTTGGTCAGGTGGTGAATTTTGGAACAGTTGACTGTACAATACATGCAGGACTCTGTAGAAATGTAAGTAACTTTTAGTAGGTTTTACAGGGCTTGTTTTTCCCTTTTTATAGCTGGGGTCATTTAAAAGCGGGGGGTGTGGGGGGAAATATGGGAGTAAGCCACATTGAATTTACCAGACCACAGTTCAGCCACCACATCTTTCCTGGGCATGCTATCAAGCAGTTTACTAGTACTACTTGCCTTCACTTCTGTATATGCCAGAGCAGAGGTACAGTCAGTATGACCGTAGAATGGATTTTATATCAGTCACAATGAAAGTGACCTGCATGGTCCGGAAATTGAACCCTGTGGCTCGTTTGACAGTCCAATGCTTTACCTATTTAGCTAACTTGACGGTCATTTTATACATGTGAGTAAGCTGACCAGCTGGGTTATTGACAGTTGTTCATTCTGCTCAGGTGACCTATCATTACTAAAACAGTGTACAGATGACCTATCATTACTAAAACAGTCTACAGATGACCTATCATTACTAAAACAGTGTGCAGATGACCTATCATTACTAAAACAATGTACAGATGACCTATCATTACTAAAACAGTGTGCAGATGACCTATCATTACAAAACAGTCTACAGATGACCTATCATTACTAAAACAGTGTACAGATGACCTGTCATTACTAAAACAATGTACAAATGACCAATAATTAGTAAAACAGTGTACAGATGACCTATCATTACTAAAACAGTGTGCAGATGACCTATCATTACTAAACAGTGTACAGATGACCTATCATTACTAAAACAGTGTACAGATGACCTGTCATTACTAAAACAGTGTACAAATGACCTATCATTACTTAAACTGTGTACAGATGACCTATCATTACTAAAACAGTGTACAGATGACCTATCATTGCTAAAACTGTGTACAGATGACCTATCATTTCTAAAACAGTGTACAGATGACCTATCATTGCTAAAACTGTGTACAGATGACCTATCATTTCTAAAACAGTGTACAGATGACCTATCATTGCTAAAACAGTGTACAGATGACCTATCATTACTAAAACAGTGTACAGATGACCTATCATTACTAAAACAGTGTACAGATGACCTATCATTACTAAAACAGTGTACAGATGACCTATCATTACTAAAACAGTGTACAGATGACCTATCATTACTAAAACAGTGTACAGATGACCTATCATTACTAAAACAGTGTACAGATGACCTATCATTACTAAAACAGTGTACAGATGACCTATCATTACTAAAACAGTGTATAGATAAACACATAAATACATAAATATCTAATGAGCACCATGATTCTTTCCCCCGTGTAGTTTACAGCCGTATAAAGGCTGTTTCTCCTAGCCTTAAATAGTTATATTTTCCCCTAAAAATGCTATATTTTACCCCCTGAAATGACATGTGCACATTCTTAACCAGAATAATGACCTAACAGCAGCTGAATTATATCAGCTAGTTTATAATTTAATTGACAGAAAGTGCCTCTGCTATGTACCATGCATGTGAAATTGAATTGAAATTATTTTTTTTTTTTATAAAATGTGTGGGTAAATTCAATTCTCAGTTGTTGGAATTTAATTTCAGATTTCCTCCTTTTCCGGTTTATCATGCTATATTTTTCCCTTTCAAAAAGCCAAAGGTTGATTTGAAAAAATGGAAAAATAAAATCACTGGCTCTGTATGTAATGAAAAGATATACTTGAATGAATATTTTCAGTATAATGTGAGATCATACCCTACAACAATATTATATAAACCAGTCTGTTCCACATCATTACCATGGCAAAACCATAAATGAACACGCCCCTCGTCGAGTTTTACAGGTATACTAACATTTAATACATTTATATTTACACAAATGAATTTTTACACATTTCAAAATCGTATGTTTTTTGTTAGGATATCTGCCTAGTAAACTAAATAGGAAAAAACATTTTTTGAAAGGGTTTTTGAACTTTTTACAACAATCTATAGAAAAAATCTTTGAACCCTTTCATTCAAGTTTAATTTGCTTTTTTCATATTTTGTAGGGGTAGATCTGTTATTAGAAAAAAAATAATAAAATGAAAAAAAAAATACTGTTACTTTTAATGTAACTAATAAATTATGTTTTTTTATTTTGCTTTTTTTTGACAGCAAATCCCCCCCCCCCGTGGTCAGGGGTTGAGTTGTGATTCTAACCCGTTCCTCCTGGCGGGGGATTGCCCCCGAATAGTTTGGGTAGTTTAGGCGGGGAAAGGTTGTTAGATGGGTAACTCCCAGGACGATGGTTGGGAACTTACCCCCCTATATTTTTTAAAATTTTTGGGAAAAAAGGCGAAAAATGAAAAAACAAAAAACAAAAAAAACACACAATGCAATCTTTTTCCCATTCCTAACAACTTGTTTTTTTAAAAAAAATTTAATTGTGCTTTTTTAAATTTTTTGACACTTAAACCCTCCTTTCTAAAGTTAGACAAAACTAAATTTAACAGAAAGGTTTTTTCAGAAAGTGAAAAATTTAAATTGGTTAGTGGATTTTTATCCCTCTTTGGTGTGGGCCAGTAAAATTTGGCAAAAGGTGGGGGGGTTACCCAAAGGGAAAAATCTGGTTAGTTGGTTTATGCTGGGTTGGGGGGGCCTTTAAACAGTTGCCCGAGTGGGGAGTTTAAAAGGGAAGTTGGTTAGTGGATTTTTTTCCTTTAAAATGGGGGGGCCTTGTCCCCTTTTCACAAGATTAAAAGGGTTTACCCAGGAAAGATCTTTAGTGGTTTTTTATGCTCATAGTGGGGGCCCGTGTAAACCCAATTTGCCCCGAAGGAAAGGAATTACCCAAAGGAAAGATCTATTAGGGGAAAATTTTTAAAAGCCTTTTGGTGGGGCCTTGTCAATTTACCCCAAAAAGGGGGAGGAGATTACCCCAAGGTAATCTGGTTGGGATTTTTTCCCTTTAATTGATGTGGCCTTTTAAATTTTGCACAAGGGGAGGGGTTTTCCCAAAGGGAAACCCATGTGAATGTTAGCTTCATATTTTTTGTTTTAAAAAGGGAACAAAGGGTTAATTGATGTTTAAAAGAAAAAAAGATATGTAAGACTTTTTTTATTGTATTGTTTCCCTTATAAATTATTTTAAAATTTTTTTAAAGAAAAAATTTTTGTCCGTGTTTAATGGGGTTAAAATGTATATTGTCTTTATGACTGTTTTTTTTGTTTTACACATTAAGGAAAAGTTTCTGGAAATTGACCCGAAAGAAACAAAGCTATCTGCATTTTTTATTTCTGTTTTACCCTTTTTTTAAAGGGGTAATGTGGATAAATTTCGATCCCCCTTTCCCCCAATCAATCTAACCTAAAACTTTTCAAAAATGTTTTTAGTGCGTTATTTAAGGTTTCCCAATTTTTTAATGCTTTTAAAGTTTTTTTTATTTTTGGGAGCTTTTAGTTTTTTTTTTTAAAAACAAATTAAATTTATGTTTTTTTTCCTGATTCCCAATGTTGGGGGAAACGAAGAATGTGTTTGTAGGTTTGGTGGGAGTGCCGGGAAAGGGAAAAATTTTTTTTTTCTGGGAAAATTGTCTATACCTAATTTTTAAATTTTAAAAAACCCCAAGCCCAAAAGGGGTATTTTGTGGTAAATTTTTTGAAAGAGGAAAAAAATTTGGAATAACTTTTTAATCAAAAATTATTTGTGGGGAAACTTTTTTTGTGGTTTTCGGGGATAGGTCAATTAAAAAATTTAAAGATCCAGGAAATTTTTATTTCGTTTTTCTGAAAGATTTTTTTGGGCTCATATTATTTTTTTTTTTTGGGAAAATAAATCAGGGGAATTAAAAAACACTAAAAATGTTTTTGTGAAAAAACCGGGGAAAATTTGGGGGGTCCCAAATTAATTTAAAGGTGAACCCACGAAATGTTACCTTAAGTTTTAGATTTTAAATGTTTAAAATGGACTTAAATTTTAAAATTTTTGGGTTTGGCTGGGGAATGGAGGAAATAAGTTAAATCCCAATATGAGCCGGTCATAAAAAACCAAAAATTTGGGTTTGGACCACAGGGATCAGCCCGGGCCTGCGATCCGTGCAGTTTTTTCAGGATCCTTTGTGTTCGCTTAAAAATTTAAATAAAAGGGGAAAAACTGACGCAACAGCATGGACCCTTGTCAAGCGCTGGATGGGAGGCTGGTTTTCCGGGGTCAAAAAACGCTTTACATTGGTTTTGTTGAAAAAAGGTTTTTTTTTAGTTTGATTGTTTTGGGAAAGTAGAGCTTATTAAAACCTCTGAAATCGGGTCCTGGAAAAAACCCCAATACTAAGCTATTGTGTAAATTTTTTTTCCCGGGAAAACAAGGGTTAAAATTGAAAAATATCTATATGATCGTTTAGGGGTACTCAAAAAGGAGCTCTCTCTCCTCGTCTTTTTTTAAAAATATGTCCCGATGTTTAAATGTATTCTTCCTAGTCTTTTAACCAATTTTAATTATAGTCAGCATTTTTATATGTTCATTTAGAGGGAGATGTGAAAGCGCGGATAGCTCAGTCAAAAAAAACGGGGGCGTGGTGCTGGGGGTCGGGTTCGAGCCCTTTAAAACCACTTTTTTCTCACCCTGTGCATATTTTAAACGACTTTTGGGGCTCCCTGCTGTGGGGTTTCCCTTTGAACTTTCCCTTTGTCTTTTTTATGTTGGGAAATTAAGTTTTAAGTTGTAAATTTTAAAATGTTTTCTTCGTTTTTCTCATATAATGGTTGCATAGGCGCGAGTCACTCGGGCTGGCATATAAATTTCTCCCTTAAAAAGTAGAAACTATAACAGGGGGAATAAATTTCCAGAAAAAATATATTAGTCCAGATCTTGATTTTGACTTTTACGCGCCTTGGTGCGGACATTGTAAGTTTCCTCCAAAAATTTGAAAAAGTTCCCTAATGTAAACACATTTAATTCACTGTTTTAATATTGTTTCAGTATTAAATTTAAAAAATTAAGGCTAAACTTAAAAAAGGGAAATAAAAATTTATAAATGTAAGAAAAAATTATTTCTGGATTAAAAAAGTAACACATGAGGGGAAATAAACCCGGGTTGCATTCCGACTCCGCCACCCTGTGGTAAAAATTCTTAAAATTTCTTACACTTTTAAAGTGTATGACCCAGTTTTTCTTCCATTTTTGTTTAATATTTCTATTAAAATAATTGAAGATATTTTTAGTCTTTTAACATGATTTTTCAAATTGTGATTATTCTAGACCTCGAAAAAGGGGGGATAATATTATGTCACTAAATTTGCATATTAGTAAATTTAAATGTTTACATTATTTGTCATTAAAATGTTTACATTATTTTGTCATTAAAGTGTTTTACATTTTGTCATTTTAAAAGTTGGTTTTTTTTTCATTTAAAAAGTTGACATTTTTTTTTCACTTTAAAAGTTTAAAATTATTAATTTTGTCACATAAAAAATTTACATGTTTGTCAAAATTAAATGTTGCTTTTTTGTCACTTAAATGTTACAGATTTTATCAATTTAAAAATTTTTATTTTCTCACTTTAAATGTTGAATTTTTTGTACTTAAAAAGTTACATTTTTTTTCATTTTTAAATTTCCATTTTAAAATTTTAATATTTTTCCCTTTAAATGGTACATTTTTGTAACTTTAAATGTTTACTTATTTTTTTAAATTTAAAAGTTGCGTTATTTTAAAATTTTTAAATTTTAATTTTTTGTAAATTAAAATGTTGAATTTTTCATCAAATTTAAAAATTTATATTATTTCATACTTAAATGTTTAAATTTTGTCACTTTAAAAAATTGACATCATTTTAAAAATTTTCATTATTTCTCCTTATATGTTAATTTTTTCTCCCTGGTACTTTTTCTGTAAATTTAAAAGTTACATTATTTTGTACTAATTTGACGTATTTGTCTTTCCTTGTGTTTACATTATTTTGTAGCTTTTAATGTTGGCATTATTTTGCCACTAAAAATGTTGATATAACTTTGCAACTTTAAATGTTAACATTATTTTTGTCACTTTAAATGTTGACATTATTTTTGTCACACTTTAAATGTTGACATTATTTCAGAATATAGAAGGTACTGCTAAGGCAGGGAAGGTAGATTGTACTCAGGAAAGACAACTCTGTCATCAGGCCAGTGTTAATTCATATCCAACTGTTAGATTTTATACTGGATCTAGCAATGGTAATCCCCAGGTAAGTCTTTTCTTTTTAGTTTTTCTGAAAACTTAAAACACCTGTGAACGACTTGTCAAAGTTGCTGAGTTGAAATAGTTTGCCTGAATATGCTAAAGTGCTGAAGGTTTGAATATTAATAGACAAGACTTTTGCCCCTTGTTGCTGAGGGATTGCCTTTAACGTCTGTGGCATCAGAATTGCAGCTATTTTTTATCCCTGTGTGATTGTATTAGGTGACTAAATGGGTTCTAATTACTGGAATCTATGCATCTCTTAGCTCCAGTAGGTCTAGTTGTTTTAACCTCTTGTGTTGCTTTGAAGATTGTAACACCCGAGGTTAGCCAAAATCAACTTTCCTCTTCCGGCACCATATGACCTAAACTGTGTTGGTGCGCCGTAAAACCAATCAAACAAACAAACAAGGACAATTACATCTTAAAATGGGCTGTATTGTTGTTTTTTTTTTGTATTTCAGAATGCATATGGTTGGGATATTGTAAGCCAAAATGCTGAAGAAATAACTAATTTTGTTAAACAAAATACACCAAAGGTAAGAAAATATCAGTCGTAATTTTCATTTTAATATGTGTATGAAAAAAATCTTAAGATTGCTATTACAAATGGTGACTACAGAAATGTGGGAGGGGTATAAAAGGGTATTGACCCTTTGTATGCCAAGTTTATTTTCTGATTTCTATATTATCGTCTAGTACTGGTGTACGATGTTACTCTCCAGGAACGATGGTTAGGAAACTTCCCACCTATATGACTGAAATACTGTTGGGGAAAAGGCTTAAAATGATACAAACAAACAAAACAAATCTATATTATCTTGTTAAATTATAACATGTTTTTCAGTGTCATTTAGTTATATTATAACATGCCCTTTTGTGTAGTATGACATCCAGCTACCTAATGAAATGTCAGTGGTTTTACTCAGGTGCCAGCTTGAGCCTGAAATAATGCACAGAGGGGCAACTGAGGTCTTCCTCTACCAGTAAAGCTGGAAAAGTCATCTTATGACCTATACCTTGTGACATAAAATTCAGCAAGCAAACAAAAAAATGTTTATGAAATTGCATTTTATTTCCATCTTTGAAAAGCTTTTTATAATATTTTCATTTTGCTTTCAGAGAAAACAAGTGAAATATAATAAAGATCATGATGAATTGTGATACAACATCTGTGTTATATGATAGTCTACCATACATTATACCATGCCTTGACATTAAATAAATTATTTGTTTAACATTGTTATATAATATGTTCTACCATATAGTGTTATATGATATGCTACCATATAGTGTTATATGATATGCTTCCATATAGTGTTATATGATATGCTACCTTATAGTCTTATATGATATTCTACCATATGATATTATATGATATGCTCAGCCATATAGTGTTATATGATATTGTACCGTATAGTGTTATATGATATGCTACCATATATTATACCATGCCTTGTCATTAAATAAATTACTTGTTTAACATATGATATATGATATGCTATACAATAGAGTGTTATATGATATTCTGCCATATAATGTTATATGATATTCTGCCATATAGTGTTTTATGATGTTTTACCATATAGTGTTATATGATATTCTGCCATATAGTATTATATTATATATTACCATAAAGTTTTTTATTATAGTTTACCAAATAGTGTTATATGATATTCGGGCCTTTAAACAGTTTAAATATGTATTTTTCTCCCTTTATAAAATTTACTTTTTTTCCCATAAATATAGTTTAAATGAAAATTATAACCATTTTAGTTTTTAAAATGATAAAACAAACTATATAATGTTATATGATATTCTGCCATAAAAAAATTTATATGGATATTCTGCCATATAGTGTGTATATCATATTCAAACCAAATTTTTTGTGTTAAACCATTTAAATTTTTTTATTTAAAATTGTTAAAAATTTTATGTTAAATAAAGATTTTTTGACATATAGATTTTGAAACAAATAGTTATAAGGCATATTTTTCCCCCAAACTGTGAAGCAAGGTTGAAATATCATCAAAAATTTGTTTATACACGCCATAAAACCTTCAAAAGTCTTGTAAAAAAAATTTATAAATACTGCACATCCCTTTTTTTGGAAGTGAAATTAAATGAAGTTTAATCAAATATAATCTATAATTAAATCTAAAAGCAGCGGGGGTAAGGGATAAACCCTTTTCCCAGCTTTTATTTTTTTTTGGGAAAAAAACAATTCTGTGTTTTTTAAAAAAACTAAGTTTTTTCAGTAACTTTTTTTGGGGGAAAAAAAGTAAAATCATTTGCTGTTAAAGCACAGGACCCCAGATTCAGGGCTTTTTTTCATGGAAAATTTGAAAGGTTTTTTTAACATTTAAAAAGCATTGAAAAGTTCCCAAAAAAAATGAAAATTTAAACCACTTTTATCAATGGCACTTACAACCCATGAAAATTACCATAAAGGGGGTAAAAAATTTTGCCCCCAAAAAAAAAAAGCCCTATTTTGGGGTTATTTTTTTGGAAAGTAGAAAAAAATAGCTTAAATACGGAAAAGTGGGTCAATTTAACCCGCACATAAAAAAAATGAAAAATTATTACAAAAAATTTTTATTTTAAAATTTTTTATATTTTTTTTTCTTTTTAAAATCTTAGAAACATTTTTCCTCGGGTTTGATTTTTTTTTAAATTTTTTTTGCTTTTTTCGGGGAAATGTGAAAGGCTTTAACCACTTTGGGAAAACTTTTTAATAATTTTTATGGGTAAAACCGTTCGTTTTTTAAAAATAGTTTTGGAAATAAAACCTTTTCCCTAAATTTAAAAAATACTAGAGAGCGACGGGTAATCAGGGGTTTTGAGGGTTTCCTTTTAACTGAAATATTTTTTTAATTGTAAGGGAAAGGAAAGCGTTTTTTTTCACCTTTTCCCACCCCCCTTTTGGGGTCGAGGGGGTAAGATTTCGAATAAACCTTCTAATCCATTTACCTCTCGGGCGGGGGTTGTTTCCCGGGGAATTTTGCTTTGGTATTTTAGCCAACGGAGAAAGGTAGTTAGTAGGGGGTGAAAAACTTTTCCAGGGGGTTAAAACGGGTTTAAAAAACAAACCCCGCCTATATGACTGAAAAAAAATGGGGGAAAAAGGGCGTAAAATAAAAAAACCAAAAAATTTTTTCACCTTAATTCTTTTAAATTTGACAATTATATGAAAGGGGTTTTATTTAAAGTAATATATTTGACCTTTGGGGAAAATGAAGGCTTCCCTTTTAAAACATAAATTTTTTTCCAATAAAATTTTTTGTAACAACTACTTACCCAATGAAAATCATTTTGAAAAAACCAGTTATCCAATAAAAAATCAGTGAAAAACCAAACTAGTTTTCCAATTAAAATCGTTTTAACAAAACGAAGTTACCCCAAAAAAAATCGGGTGAAACCCAAACTAGTTATAAAATTTAAAATCAGTGTAACAAACATTTTTCCAATGAAAAAAATTGTTACATATAGTTACCCAAATGAAAATCTAGTAAACATACTATTTTTTTCTAATAAAAAATCTATGTAACAAAACTATTAAACCAAAAAATTGAAAATTTAAATGTAACTAACTAGTTATCCAAAGGGAAAATTTAAAGTGTAAAAAACATGAAAGAAATTATAAAGTTTTTGTTATTTGGGTTTTAAAAGGGTTTTTAATGTTGTGTTATAAAACCACATGAAAGGGTCGAAATTTTTATTTAACGGGTTTAAATTTTTTAAAAAAACAGTTTTCATATTTTGTAGTTTATTTTAAATTAAAAATTTTTTTTTGGGTTTGATTGTTTAGAAAAGCTGTATTTTTATTTTAAACATTCTTATTTCCGTGCCTGGAACCAACCAGTACTTAAAACCAAAAAAAAATAAAGTCTCTTGCTCAAAAAAACAATGGCCCTTTCCCCCGACAGGGGTTTTAACCCCCCGAGGTCCCGCAATTCTTAGATTAAATCTGTTGCGTTTTTTTTGTATTTTTATGTAGGTTTAGCTGTAACATTAATTTAAAAAGAATAAAAAAACTTAGTTGTTAAAAAAAAATTTTAAATTGAATTTCTGAATCTTTAATAATTCTTAAGAATTTTTAACCCGTAAAATCAGGTTTTTTTTCAAAAAGTTTTCTAAAATTTTGTAAAAATTTCGTAATTTTTCAAACAAAAGGCCCGATTTTTCAATAAATGTTAAAAAAAAGGGGAACAAGAACCAAAACCCAAATAAAAAAAATACAGAAAAACATTTCTTTTAGCCAAACATTTTAATAGGAAAATTTAAAAACAAATTTTTTTATCTGTAAAACCCCGTTTTTTTTTTTATAAAAAAGGGGTGGTCTCTTTTTTCCAAAAAAGAAAAATGTAAAATAATGAGAAACATGTTTCAACAAATCGCAAAAAAATTTGATACTGGGAAAAAAAGCCCTTTTAAAAATTTTCTGGTTCCCCCAAAAATTAAACTGATATACTGTAAATAAAGCATAAAAATTTAATTTAAAACATAAAAATTTAAACAATTGTGAGTGGGGGAAAAAAAAAAAAAAATACCGGGGTATACTAATTTTCAAAACTATTTTTGAAAATTTTTAAATACTAAAAGCTGGTAATTTAAATTTGTACAATTTTTGTTTAAAATTTTAAAAGGAAAAATTTTTTACCACATGGCCTTTTAAAATTTAATTTTTCCTTCCCAAAAACCAGGGTAAAAAATCCAGTGTTTCAAAAATTTTTTATGCTTTTTTTAAAAATTTAAAAAAAAAAGAAGCAGGCTTTTCAGTCCCCGTCCCCTCTTTGGATTTTTTTTTTATTTTTTTGCTACTTTTTTTAAACCATCTTTTTCATTGTTAAAATTTTTTTTTTTCAAAACCCAAAGGGGAAAATTTTTTTAATTTTTTTTTTTTTTAATTTTTCAGATAACTTAAAAACAATTTTTTTTTTAAAAAAAAAGTCAAAATGATAACCAAATGGGGGTTTTTTATTAACAAAGGGCAGAAGGTTTACTTTCCCTTTTATGTTTAAAAAAAACAAACCTGTATCAGTTAAAATTTTCCCCCGAAAAGTTTTCAAAAGGAAAACACCCAAAGTCATGACAAATTAAAATTCATCAGGGGGGCCCTTTACAGAGCTGTGTTTATTGTTTTCCCCAAATTTTTATTTTAAAAAAATTCAATAATTTTTTTATCTATTTTATTTAATTAAAATGTATAAAAAAGTGGGAAAAAAAAGTCTGCAATTTTAAAAAGTGTAAAATTGAATTTTAATTAAATAAAATTTTTTTCTATCCTTTTAATTAAAAACATCAAAAGTTTAAAAAAATTATAAAGTAAAAAAAGTAAGGGGGAAAAACCAAGAGAGTAGTTTGATATATAAATTTTCTGGGATTGAAATAACAAAAACATAAAATAAAAGTTAAATAATTGGGAAAAAAACATAGCTTTTTTTAAAAAATTTAAAAAAAAAATAAGGGAGCTTTTCTAAATTTTAATGAAATGAAAAAAACTAATTTCTAAATTTTTAAAAGAAAAAAAAAAAGCACACAGATAAAATTTAAACGAAATAAAGTAGCTTTAAATTTAAATTTTTAAAGAAAAAGGAAAGCCTTTTTCTAAATTTTTCAACCACTTTTCCCCCACCCCGGGGCGAACCCACAGGGCTTTGAATTCCAGGAGGGGGCATCCACCAGTTTAAAACTTGGGAAAGTCGCCCAAAGACCTAATGTGTCGGGGTGACGTTTTAAAATTAAAAACCCAAACAAACAAACCCCCAAAAACAAACTAAATTTTTCTGAAAAAAAAAAAAAAACATAGCTGTACTGCAAAACATAGAGATCAAAGCATTATGAGGAATTTTATTTTATATATTATGGGGAAGGAAAAATTTAAATATAGGGGCATTTGGGATAATCATAGAATTTTAAAATTTCTGTTTCTTATTTGCTTATCATGTTAATTAATGCATTTGTTTGATTTGTTTTTTGGAAATGGTTTTTTTCCCGTAAAAAATTTGATATCAAATTTTTTTTTAGGGGGACTAATTTTTGGGTTAATTTCTCCCCCATTAAAAAATTTTAAATTAACATGTTACTTTGGGGGACCCAAGGAAGAACACAGCATTTCATTTTTTTTAAAAAACAATTTTTTTAAAAATTAAATGAATTGAAATTTTTTAAATTTAAAAGGAAACGTGGTTGGGCCCCAAAAATGGTTTTAAAGGGGTTTTGCCTCTAACCCAGAAATCATAGGTTTTTAAAACCCTACTTTTTGGGCTTGAAACCCTTAATTCTTAGAAAATCAGTAAATTTGGGGTT